CAAGAATATGAATTAAAGGTAAAAAGTATAAAATGAATTGATTAAAGAATAATATATTTTAATAAATTAGACATTTACAGATGCGTTTTGAAGACTTTCAAGAGTATGATGAATTTTGTTTTGAGGGTGAGAAATGAGATGCTATAAATTCTTTTTATATAAGGATTTGGTTTATCTGAGCTCTCTTTAGATTAGGAAATTGATGAAGCTCATGAAAACAAGCTTCTTTGACAAGGATTAAATGGATTCTAAACTTAAGATTTCATAAAATATTATCCATTTGCAAAGGTTTAACAAGTCTTTACTTTAAAATGTGTCCATTAAATGAAAATAAAACTCACTAGCAATCACGGATTCAAAACTTATTTGAACAACTTGCCACTTCTTTGAAATAAATTAGATTGATATCTAGTTTCTCGTTCCACTTTCAAAATATGAATCACACTTCAATTATCAAAACCATTATCCAAGATAATTTTACAGAATTGTTTAAAAGTTTAAAAAATTTGAATGTTAAAAGCAAAGATTGCTGTCCCTGGGGTAAGTTTATGACTTGTAGAAACTTAGAACTAGCAAAAATCTACATTAATAAAAGTTTTTGATACCAAAAGTCTTTAACATTGCGTCTTAACTGCTTTATTGGTGATAAATTTGAGTGTTTTCATTTAAAAAAATCTCATTCCTAAAAGGAAAGCTTTGCAGCTTCAAGATCCCACCAAAAAAATATTAAATTACACCAAAGAAAAATATTTCCAAAAAAATATCCTTTTTCACTTCAAAACTTTTACAATTTATCATTACCGTCCCTTCTTCAGCAAAGAATCTAACATCAATGTAATTTATTGTCAGAAAGAAGGCACAACAAAGCACTTTTTTACTGTTTATTTATGTTCTCTGAAGGTCCTCAATTTTATCACCAATCATTCATCTATGGAGAATAATTCATCTCTTGAGAGGTCTTCATTATGTCGTATAAAAATTCTATGACTTGATAAGAAGCCGTTTCACGTCAGATCATAAAATTTTTCTCTTCGTTTTCAACAAGAAAAGCTGAACATCAGCCAACATCATTTACATTATATTAAATTGCATTTCATACAGTCATAACTCTATTGCTATCTTTAAAGATTTAAAAACGAAGAAGAACAAATAATATTTTTGAATGGTCAATGTGTTTAATTAACGTAACGTTAAAGATATATTCTCATTGTAATATCAAAAAAAAAAAAACTTTATAAAGTGAAAGAAGAGAAATTTTTATGTTAGCTAGAAGGTATCTAGTTAAGTCCTGTCAGGTGGGAAATAGCTTTGTGGAAGTTAAAACATTTCACATAATTAAAGAGCACTCGAGCTAGAAAAAGCAGCTCTGTATGGCTTCCAAATGGAACTTTGTGTCCAAAACATTACAAAAGAATGTAAAGTCCTTGAGTTTAAGATTTACTCAAAGCTATTTTCCCCCTGAGTCCTCCTCTCGTACAGATCAACATCAATGTCATTTTCATTTCAATAATTCCTTATTTCACATATACGATTTAAAAAAAAGTAAACGGGAAGAGAAGAAAAATCAATCAATTTTCATCATCGTTCAGTAGACAACATGTTCAGTATTTTAGAATAGAAATATATTGATTCATCATCATAATAATGTCTCATTATCATATCATTGACACTTAAATTAATGAACAAAAAAATTTTTCATGAAATTGAAACTATAATTAATCGCATTTGTTTATTATAATATTAAATGAAAAAAAAAACTTCTCAGTGTTTGTTCGAGTTCATATTGCTTTTTAATTCGATATATGAGGAAAAAAATATGTAAGATCCAAAAATAAAAATCTTTTTAAATTTTAAATATGAAAATGAAGCTTTTTTCTCCAATAGATTTGTTTAGATGAAGAGATAAAAAAAATAAATTTTAAATAAATTTCCGAAAGCAAAAAAAGAAGCATTTTAAATAAAGAAGAAGAAAAAGTGAAATAAATTATTAATTATTCAGTATTTGATGTATTTGATATAAATGAAGAGTAAGAAATATTAACACAATTAACTAGAATTTTTATTCATATATAGATGATGAATTAATTCATTTAATTTCCCTTCTTTTAAGCCATAATAAATTATAATTGTGTCATTTTTGGATTTATTAAATGTCCTCTTTAATTTTTTTAACAATTTCTCTGTCAGATGAGAATAGATGATACAATGAGAAGATTATGTGTATGTCATTATTTGCCATTATAATCATCTCATAGCTAAATAAAAGATGTTGGAATACTTTTTATATTTGGTATGTGTAAATACCTTAATTGTGAAGATTCTGGCATCTGAATAACAAACTTCAAAAGGTTGTATTTTACAAAAATGCAGTTTTTTGATTTGTTGGCAGATTTTGTTGAGTTTTTGAAGATTATTTTAAAGTTTGGATCATTAGAATTGTCATAAACTTGAAAGATACTTAATATCTTCCAGAAGTCAACTAAACCTCCCAGCAGCCAACTAAAATTGAGAAAACAAAGAACTTTTATCTGTTTACTTAACTGTTAGACCTTTATCGATATTATAAGTAGATTTCAACAACGACTCTAATTATTAAACAAAAAGTAAATCAAATTCTACTTTCTTAATGAAATTGACAGCTTGCCATCATTCCATACTCAAATTTTCCACCAAAAAGAAAATCTTTCAATAGATTTTTAATAAAGAAAAGAGAGAAATAAGAAAGCGAAAAACATTTCATACGGTCGAAAGAATCAAATTACCATAATGTGGATGTTATGATTTTATGAATCGGAAAGAAAAAAGTCTTTAGAACTTTTGGAGATTCTCTTCCATTCTTGAAATTATTTTCATCTACATTTTCTAAATTAAAATAAAAAAAACACTGAAAAAAATCCATATGATGAAATAACAACAGCAGTAACAACATATATAAGTAAATATGAATAATATTAAATGAAAGAAAGAAGAAATCTTATAAGTAATGATGAAATTTAATGCAACAAGGAAGAAAAATCATTATGTATTGCAAAAAAATGAAGAAAAAAAAATGATGAAAAAATATTTGTACTTTTTCATGTTCAAAATGAAAAATTTCGAGAAAAAATAACTTAAAATGTGTTTTAATTGCCTTGATTTTAAATTTGAATATTTGTTAATTTTTTTAAGGTTTCAGGAATCAGACTGTTTTTCCCTTAAAATCGGAGGCTGTTTACTTCGATACGAATGATTAAGATTTCTGCACCGCTGTTATGATTTTTTAAGATTCTCCATTAACAAATTTTACAGGACTAAGCTTAGAATCTAGATGCCAGGAAGAGTAATAGAAATTATTATTATTATTATTATTTTAAATGTATTTAAACTTTTTAAAATGGCATAAAAACCTTAGTTAAATTAACTTGAATTAGAAATACTTAAACTATTATAGGTTTACCCAAGGTGTACCATTAATTTAATTTCATACCTAAAGAATAAGCATTCATTGTTTATTTTTCAGCATCATTTTTATCTGAATTACAGCCAAGATTGTCAAAAAAACAATTCATTCCAAAATTTAAAAATCATTGAATCAACTCAAAGACAGAAATGTTTTTACAACTTATAAACTTCAAAAAACAGCAGCAAAGCACCATCATAATTATTATCAACATTGTATGTCAAACAAAGAAAGCCTAACCGACAAAGAACAGAAAATGAAATATTAATTCAAAAAGAATCTGCTGGCATATTCTGTCAGTGATCCATCACATTGTTCAAACATTCAAATTCAAATTAAATTTGTAGGTAAATTAAAAGTAATCAAGCAGGAACACGTGTAAGAATTTGATGTAATTACATTTCTTAAATTAGAAATAAATTCTTTGTAATTATATTGAGGATTTCATTAAATGAAGCGTTAAGTAAAAAAAAAATTCTTAGAAAATTCATTGAATGGAATTTGGTGGTGCAGAAGTTTTTATACATATTTTGAAAATATTTATGAATGATTTTATTAAAGTCTATGATTAATGGTTAAACAAGTTTAATTGGACTAGGCATAAGAAGAAAAGCTAGGAGAGTCAAAAACCATTTGAAGAGTGTATTGCAATAGGTCTTTAGGATAAAATCCCATAACACACCCTATCCATTCTGTCTGCACAAATGAAACTCAACCTACCCTCTTAAAAAATTCCTGGCTACGCTTCTCATTGAAATATTAGGCATCCTAAGTATTGTGGGCATCCTTGAAACAAAAGATGGAAATATTAGTCATATCTATTCAAAATGATGGCTTCTTAAGTATTGTAGTGGTGCTTGGTTTGTCTTTATCCGAATTATTCCCCAACAATCCAAACTCTAAGATTTTGAAAACCCCAGAATTCCTTTAAATTTCCCTTAAAAGCATATCTCATAATTAATAAATTAAACATCAATTAAAAGCTCCTCCATCGTTTTCATGAAAGCATCCTAATGTCTCAACTGCCTTTAATTGTATTAATGAAATTATCATAAACGCTTTATCACCTTATGCAATCATTAGCAGACATAATTTCTATTCAATAAGCAAAAGAATAAAAATAAAAACGGTGAAATTTTCTCATCAAAAATAAATTTTCCATTCCTCATCTCAAGTACATGGGCAATAAAATTCCATCACAATACAATCTTCATGAAACAGTAAATAAGAACATCAATATTGAAACTGAGAGAGAGAGAGAGAGAGAAACGAACAGAAAATTTCATCGTATCGTATAACCACGCGGCATCACTAAGGATGTGATGAGAGGAACCAAAAAACACATTTTCTGAGAGTTCATGCGCATATATTTTGCTTCTCATCTCACAATGTGCCAAAAAAAAACAAAGTGATGTGAGAAGAAGGAAGGTCCTCCAATTCTCTCCATGGAAAGTCAAAAATTTTAATAAACAGATGAAAAAAAAACTTCCATAAAAAATCGATAAAGAAAAAATTTCACTTACAACACAAAATCCACACAGTGCGAATTAAATGGAAAAAGCATTCGTTGAGTCTTCTCAGTTGTGATTGATAAATTCTGTGTGCGATTTTATAATATAGATGGAGAAAAATTTTGCTCATTTTTTATTCTTTATTTTGTAAGAACTGATGTGAAGAATTAACAATTATTAAAGGAACTTAGTGTGGTAGAACTAAAGGAAATAGATACTAGAAAATTTTCATAAGGAAAACTTTAAAATTGCAAATTTCTAAGCAAGGCGTTTCCCCTTCAAAAAAGAAAAGGAAAAAAAAATTCTTCAAAATTCAATTTCCGAATAAATCAGAACCTTTGCCACACCAATTTAAATGTGAAATGTATAATCGATTTGTTTAGTGTATTTTAAGAGGAAATAGAATTTTTTTTGGATCATAAAAATGAACTCATTTATGATATTTGTGACACTTTGTGTGTTCACAACATTCAATTTGCATCACGGTAAGGACAAATTTGCGTCTCATATCAATAACTGAATTTCCTTTCTAAATTTCATATCATCTTTTTACACACATTTTCAGTCATCGGAAGTGAGGATGAGGAGCGTTTAGTAAGAGATCTCTTTAGGGGTTACAATAAACTCATTCGACCTGTTCAGAACATGACACAAAAAGTAGATGTACGATTTGGATTGGCTTTTGTTCAGCTCATTAATGTCGTAAGTGCGAAAAATCTAATTTTGATTCGTTTTTAGTTCTGTGTAATTTCGATGCTTTTATAGTGTTATCAGAATATGAAAACATTCACAATGACAATGAAATTGAAAATTTTAATATCAAAATGCATGAAAATGTTTTTATAAAAGAAATTAGCGCTTTTTAAAATTGATTGCTCCATTTTTGTAAGGGTGAAATTTTCCAATAACAAAAGCCCCCATTTGTGTTCATTCAATTCGAATTATTTTCAATACCTAATTTTGGTTTGAATTCTCAATTTTGATAAACTTCCCCCAAATAATTATTTTTCATAAAATTTCTCTTTTTAGAACGAAAAGAATCAAATTATGAAGTCCAATGTATGGTTACGATTAGTTTGGAGTGATTATCAATTACAGTGGGATGAAGCTGATTATGGTGGCATTGGAGTATTAAGATTGCCTCCTGACAAAGTTTGGAAGGTGAGAATTTAATTAATTATACTATGATTCCTTTTATCCTCCTATTTCTCAAATTACACCCAAAAAATCCACAACTAGAATTCCTTTACAACATTTATATTGTCAATTTCCAGCCTGATATCGTATTGTTCAACAATGCTGATGGTAACTACGAAGTTCGTTACAAGTCTAACGTTTTAATCTATCCCAATGGAGAGGTAAGCATTCAAAATCTCAAATACATTTTAAAAACCTAATTTAACATCAACAAAACCTTTAAATTTTCAGGTTCTTTGGGTTCCGCCAGCCATTTATCAAAGCTCATGTACGATTGATGTCACATACTTCCCATTCGATCAACAGACATGCATTATGAAATTTGGCAGTTGGACATTCAATGGCGATCAAGTGTCACTAGCTTTATACAACAATAAAAACTTTGTAGATTTATCAGATTATTGGAAATCAGGAACATGGGATATAATTGAAGTGCCGGCATATTTGAATGTGTATGAAGGAACGAATGGACAACCGACAGAAACTGACATCACATTTTACATTATTATAAGAAGAAAGACTCTTTTCTACACAGTCAATTTAATCCTTCCGACGGTTCTCATTTCATTCCTTTGCGTTCTCGTCTTCTACTTACCTGCTGAGGCTGGCGAGAAAGTGACACTTGGTATTAGTATTTTGCTCTCACTTGTCGTCTTCTTGTTGCTCGTGTCAAAAATTCTGCCACCGACATCGCTCGTCCTTCCATTGATTGCCAAATATTTACTGTTTACATTCATCATGAATACTGTTTCCATTCTTGTTACTGTTATCATTATCAATTGGAATTTCCGAGGACCGAGAACACATCGTATGCCACAATGGATTCGAACAGTCTTCTTACATTACTTGCCTGCAATGCTGCTAATGAAGCGCCCACGAAAGACTCGATTGAGATGGATGATGGAAATGCCTGGTGGACCTGGACTTAGTGTTCCACCTCATCCATCGCATCCATCGTATGGCTCACCGACCGAAATGCCAAAACACATTAGCTCAATAGGTCAAAATAAATCAAAGATGGAAGTGATGGAATTGTCAGATTTACATCATCCTAATTGCAAGATGAATCGTAAAATTAACAGTGGTGGTGGTGATTTAGGAGGTGAACATTGTCGACGGGAGAGTGAAAGTTCAGATTCAATCTTGTTATCGCCAGAAGCAACGAAGGCTACGGAAGCTGTCGAATTTATTGCTGAACATTTAAGAAATGAGGATTTGTATATTCAGGTGAGAATACATTGAGATTGGGAAGAAATAAGGGGCTGGGTAAAGAATGAAAACGCCCCTAGTCTCATATTATGTAAGGTCTGCTAAGATTCTAATAAGATTCTCATCCTTTGTCTCATTTTAGACACGCGAGGATTGGAAATACGTTGCAATGGTAATTGATCGTTTACAGCTTTACATTTTCTTTATTGTTACAACTGCCGGTACTATCGGAATTTTAATGGATGCTCCACACATATTCGAATATGTTGATCAAGACAGAATTATTGAAATTTATCGTGGCAAATAAGCACATAACAATTCAAAAAAGGAAAGTAATAATAATAACAAATAATTAATAATATTAAATATAAAAATTTTTAAGAATAAAAAATTCACTCGAGCAGCAGTTAACGAAAAAAAAAAATTACATGGTAAATCAAGAATACGATGGTGAATGTTTTCAGATGAAATGATACAGACACACATAAATACACACATTTTTTTAATGGCAAAGTGAGGAGCGAAACTTCTTCACGTGGCTTCTCAAAAACACAATTTTTACATATTAATATACACAAAAAAAAGAACTTTTTGCAGCTCAATTTTTAAAATTTCACACAATGGACAGAAAAAATATGAATCATGATTAATTTTTAATTGAAATCCTCAAATCATGCGATCTTCCAATTTTGTGCTCAAAAAAATGTGACACAAGATCATTAAACAAAAAAAAGTGTTTAGACAAATTTAGCATCGGCTCAAAAAAAAGACAATTTTCATCTTATTTACTCAATTTCAATATTTCCTGCCAAATTTTTTACAAAAATGATACTTTTTATGACAATTTTTTGTTTCGTTAGTGGAAATTTTTTTGGTGAAAAAAAGAATCGAAGTTAATAACTGAATTTAATCGTAATGACAAAAAAAATTGATGAAATATGTAGTTGAACTTTCTATCTAGTTGAAAATCTGTCTATGACAATTATTATCTGTCTGTGTATCCACGAGAAAAACAAAAAAAATATTAATTATTTACTGGAAGAATGAATGGTTAAATGTGTGGAGAATAAGATGTTATTTGTGATGTAAGGGCATGTGGAATTGTAATCGAAGGAAAGCTTTATTGTGATAAATCTTGATTGTTCTAGTTTAAAGAAATATCCAAGCTTCTTATATGATCTGAGTCAAAACTATAAACGAAAGAAAGGCTTTAAAGTTTAAAGTATCCTGCATTTTATTATGCAATAAACTTCAGATTATTTCCAATTGTTACATACATTAGTCAATGAAACTAGAGTAATGACTGACTTTTAATAAATTAAACTTAAATTTTCAATCAGTAAATGGTTTCAAGATCCATGGATACCCTAGACCAAGTGTCTTAAGCACTTGAATCTGCCCTACTCTTAGTATATTAGACATCTTATTTAACCGCAATGGTGTCTTTGGTTACACTAGATAAGTTGTAGGTTAGATGGAAGCCTAAGAAATGATAAGGTTAAAAAACCTCCTCAATATCTCTAAATTTACAACCTAATCTCTCAAAATCATAAAAGTTCAATAATTTTAACATATCTTACATCACAGATCCACGCTTGTGTGAAGTTAGCATGAAAATAACTCTCAAATACGGCACTAACACTTGCCAACTTCAAAATTCCAATAATTTTTCTATTGATAAATGAAAATTGAGCACGATTAATGATAATTCATAAGGAAAATGATGATAAGAAAAATTTATATAAAAATAAATAAAATAAAATGTTGTTCTATTGTTAATTGATAATAACGAATTTTCTATAATGAGATAAATGCATAAAACAAGATTAACATAAACCGAAACTTTAAAAAAAAATAATAATTCAAATTTTGGAACTGGAAGATTGATTTTGCAATTTAGAGCAGTGTTAATATAAACTTATTCATGCTAGCTGTTGATATCTTATCCTTCATTCACATAGACATCAGTTTAATGCCTGGCTTTATGAATAGCACTGATTTCTTGAGTAGCAGAGTTCGTCTACAATTGGCATGATATTCAATCAGGTCTATAAACTATTTCATCAAATCCAAGTTATAAAATCAAAACACTGAAACTTGCAAAATCAACTTCCAATTCCAGATCAAAAAATAAACTCACTTTTCTTTTGCAAACGCGCAAATAAAGATGAACTAATAAGCTCATTGAATTTCATATATTTAATAATATGCAAATTTTTTTAATCAACTTTTTTCACAATTATACAAAATTTAATGAAATTTAAGTGATTGATAATGCAGATGCAAAGTTTTTAAACAACAAAAAATTAAATTTAATAAATATTCCTGATTTTCTTGCTATTCCTTCCTATTTACATAAAACTGCTCACAACTATTAACTTGTCCACGTGCAGGTTGATGACTTTTTCTATAATTTATTTTTATCAAAATTATGCCATAAACAAAAAACAAATATTTAGCAATGAAAAATTAACTATTAGATATAACCTAAAGTGAAAACACTGGATGTGAAATTTGAGAGATGAAAAATACAATAAAAATTATCATTGAAAACATAAAAAATTACATTTTTTATTATTCTTATGTTTTATGGTGCTTACAATCAAGTTTAAAATCATGAATATAATTATTATTAAGTTTACAGGTTTTACACAAGTTTAATGAGGATTGCATTATTGACATTTTTGCAAATATCGAACATCAAAATAGTTTATTTTGATAAATTGAAATCTGAGATGTCGAGTCTGCACAAAAGCATTTACAGCAATTTTAATGCAATTCTCTTTCTTTTTTTTTCTTTTTTCTAAAAAAGCGAAGCAATTTTAATTGTTTGCTGAATATACGCTAATGAACAAATATCTTGATCTGAGTTGGAAATTGGAGGATTTGTCAACCTTCGATCTAAATCTTTGTAGATTAGGCATGAAATAGTTGAAGCTTTAGAATATTTTGGTGGATTTGCCAACTATTGTAGATTAACAATATCAAAGTATCACCAGAAAGGTGCTGTAGATCAAGACGAGTTTGAGATCGTGATATCTATATAATGATAATTTTGATATCATTCTTAACATCGGCAACGTGTACTAGTTTTGTATCTTTAGTAGACTAGCTAAAGCTAGATTAAAACTAACTTTTAATGGTCTGGTTACTAGACTTTAATTAAAAATATTCAATCAGCTTATCAACACTGTTTAATGTCTAATTTTCATTGATTAAAGAAAATTCAAATAAATTGAAAGTTTCTGTTTTTATGGAAGAAAATCTCTTATTTGGATTTCGTTTTAACTAGTTTTGATGATAAATTTCACAAAATCAACTTTTTTGCACTTTTCAGGCAAAATAATAAGATTCATGGAATTTATTTTATGCTATTTGGGTAATTTGTATATGTACACAACAGTAATTTGAATCTATCTAAAATATCCAGTTGGAAGGAATATTTTGGATATTGCAAAGTTAAAAATTCAATTTCTAGAAGCGATTGTCTATGGTTCTTAATTAAGCTTCTAGAAGCAAACTGCTGTTTAAATATTATTAAAATTCTTTCCTTACGAATAAACAATCATATTTTTCATTAATTATTGATAACAATTCAGAACTTAAAAATTATACTAAATATGAGCAGCTTTATTAACATAAGTTCAGAAGATTTGATGATTATAAATTACCTATGGAATCTTTTTTCGTATTTCATAATCAATTTTGACATAAATAAAACAACAAAAAAATTCAAATAAAAAATGTATACTAAATGGTGAATCCAGTCGCATCAGAATGGCATGAACTTTAGTCATGCTTAAAAAGCTTGTCCTATCTGATATTTTGTTTATGTTTTGCCGCTCTCAATTCTTTTTTAGTCTCTCTGATAAGCTTTTTGGTATTTTGATCGTCAATCTCATCCCATCCGACCTGATAGCTTTCTTCGTTCCAGTCTTCAAGTTCATTCTGGGAAAAAGAAATTATTCGATTGAAAAAATCTATATTTTAAAATACGTCGTATGCTAATTTAATTAATTATAATTATTCTTTCAATCTCCTTAGTCATAATAATGGTAGCTATAGCTGAACTTATTATGCAAATTTATAAACAATCTTATACATCATAAAGAGCATTAAATTGAAATATTGATTGAATCGGGTACAATATTGCACGTGATGGCTAATCATATCCTAATAACTAATCTCTTAAATGAAATATGAAGACAGATAAGGCAATACTGTGAGCTGATAAATTGTTCTAATCTTCACTGAATTCTTTAGATCGATAATCAGTTGATTTACTTAAAATATATTGTTTCTTATCTTAAAATGTAATTTTCAATAACTTACAGTTGTCGGAATTTCGGCAGTTGCATCTGCTTCAAGTCGTGAAAAATCAATTGAATTATTTGCATTTCCTTGATTGAGGTAGACTTTTTTCTGTTTGAAATTTTTCGGTGCCATATCCTAAAATTAATATTTTATTAAATATTTATAAATTATTACAAAATTAAGGTCATCCCTACCGCAAAGAGATCAATGTTTTCAACTTCAACAACAGGCTCTGGTTCTTTTGTTTTCACTAAGTTTTCCCTGTACTGTTCAATATGTTCTTCAACGGTCCTTGGCTGGTCATCCCATGAGTTCCAATCACGTTCAATCTTGAAATAAAAATTGTTTTTCTAGATTTTGTTTTTGTTTCTCAATGTTTTTCAACTCACCACATTTGACTTTTTATTATAACTTGGACTATCACTTATCACATTAACAACTTCTAATCGATCATCATGATGCGACTCAGAGTCGACACGTTTCCTACTAAAACAACATAGTGCACGCCGTATTATTCTTAGTATAAATAAAAGAAATCTTTTGAAAATTGCAATCATTTCTATCCCTCGCATCTCTAAATAATGTAATAAGAAGACTGAGTGAGTACGTGGGAACTAAGAGAAATCTAGTACTATGAATGTAGAATCCAAGTTTGAGATCCAATGAGACGTAGAATGAAGATTTGAATTTTTCTATCCCAAACGTAATTTTAAAAGGTTTCTTCCATGATTCACTATTTGGAAAAGATGCACTGAGAGTAGGCCCATGGATTTTTTTTAAACCCTGAGCGGGTTCAAAAGCTTGAGCCATGATTATTTTAAATAATTTAATTGTCAACTTTCAAATAAAATCCTCGATTCCTTGATTCCCAGTTAAGACTATAGTTTTAAATAAAAGTATTTTTTTTTGTCAATTCCGGCAATTCTATTTTTCATAAAAATTGAAACAAATTGTTGCGTTTGATATTTGCAGAATAAGTTTCTAAGAGAGTTAAATTCCTCTATTTCTAAAACACTTGTTTTGCACGAGAAAAATATTTGTTCAAAAGCATGGAATTTGATGCAAACGTTTTGGAATTGTTGAAGTTAAAATCAATTTGAAAATGATTATCTGATAAATTCTCAGTTTTTAAAACCCTTTTCCTGGTTTATCCTAGATATAAATTTGCCTTTTAATTAAATAATAAGGAAATGAATAGTTAACACTCTAAAGTATGTTGACACATTTCTCACCAGAAGTATTATGAAAAATATTTACTTTCTTCCAAAACAGATATTTTCACTTTTTTAGATACTAGGAGGATAATAAAGACACCAGTAACATCTTCTCTAAGTGTAGGTGCCAACATTTATATAAAAGTGGAAGAACTTCACTCCACGTATCAGTTAATACTTTGTGGATATATACAGACAGTCTATAGGGTTGTGATCAAACCATAAAATGAAGTTTATCTTTTTCGTGCTATTTGTAATTCAGGTATTCTAGAGATTGTTTCCTGAACATTTTTCGTCATATTTAAAATACCTTTAATTTTGACTACGTTTACAGGTAGCTTTTGCTCAAAATTTATCCTTACCAATCCCTGAAATTTCGCAAGAAGATGCCAACGCATTACACAGTGCATTTGTTAAATTATTTAGTGATGGAGCTGTTATAAATGGTAAATTTAGACCAAATTATTGAAGCTATAATTCAACCAATCTTTAAATTTGAAATCATTTAGATTTCGCATTTAAACTTGAGCAAAGAAATGGCTTAGATGACCAAACCATAAATAATATTGCAAACGTTGTCGTTAAGGAAGTGTCTGACTATATCACTTCTATCGCCACAACTCTTCCAAATAGTGAACAATTTGTGAATGCAGTAGTGAGTGCAATTCAGGAATTTGATGTTTTACAGAACCTTTTAAATAAAGAAGGTAAGTAAAGGTAGTTTTGGAAGGTCTACGTCTACTAATGCTTAATTTCTTAGGATACAACGATGCAGGAATTTTCGCATATGTTCTAGTTGGAATTTACAATGACGTGGTTCTAACACTTAAAACAATGGCAGAGCCATTCATTAGCTCAATAAGAGAACTTAAAGGCAATACAGTAAGTCTTTTAATCGATTAAACATAAGAATTTTTTAAAACGAAATAAAAAATTCAGATTGCACCACCAAAACCAACAGTTAAACCGGACCCTGCAGCAATTGAAACATTCAAAGCATCTTTAACAAAGATTCATCAAAATGCAATGAAAATTGCTGGTAACTTGCAAAAATTTAATTAAAACTTATAATACTTTAAACCATTTATTTCCATTTCACAGAGCAAGTTGAAAGCAGCAAACTGATTAATCAAAATAGTCTTACTGAAACTTCTGGAATCGTTCAAAAAATTGACAATTTAATCCAAAATATTTTACATACTCTCGATCCTACTGTTGCAGTTGATGTTAAAGCTTTTATAAATGACTTTTTCGCTCAAATCATTACTATTATGGACATATATGAAGAATACAAGGGTATCGATGAAACTAAAATTATGATGCAACTTGCTAGAAATGCGTATAAGAGTGCAATCAGTTCGTTTTACAAATTGGAGCTTCAAGCAGAGCAACTTCAAAATGCTGTAAGTTATTCATGCAAATAGAATTTCTAAGGACCTTTACCTATGCAGTAACCCATGATTATTGACTGATCCCAAATAAGATTTAACAAGATTTTCAATCTACAAAAACATTATTTAAAATTCCTTATCAGGCTCCAGCAGTTCCAGAACGTGACAATTTTAATGGAATCCCTCCACCACCACCAAACACTGAACAAGAGGCATCAGTTCAAGTTAATCCACCATCTATTCCAGTTGGAATTCACACAGCACAAGCAGGTTCTACTGATCAGAGTATTCAAATAGTTCAACAACTCAAACAAAAGACTGATCGAGATATGGAGTTATTAATGAGTACAAAATATGATTTTTATGGTTTTTAAATATTTAAACAATTATTTTCAGCTTTGGTGAAGGCTGTGAAGGATCGAAATGGAAAAGAAGATTTATTGTTTGTGTCAACTTTCGTACAAACTTTACAACATTTGAAGAACCTTGCTCAATCATCATATGCTAATCAACCTGCAGTGAATGCACAGATCAGTAAAATTTTTGATGCCATTTTCGTAGATATTGCTGAATGGGACAAAATCCTTAAGGAAGGAAGTAAGTTGCTATAAAATTTTAGTATGTTTTTTCTTTATTTTTTAAATTTTCATAGATCAAAACATCGAAACTGCTTTCGCTGAATTGGTGCCAAAAATTTTTCGTGACATTTTAAACTTTTTCTATGCTGCAGCAGTGAATAATGTGCAAGGTCGTCCTTAGTTTCTTGACATCGCATGCGGAAATCACGTCTAAAGATATTTAAAACTATTAAAATGAAGATGTTTTTTCATCCTACTTTCTTCCTTAAAAATTGTTTTTAAAACACTTTCACTGTAAGAGTAAATAAAATGTGTTTTGACACATATTTAAATATTTGGAAATGTGTTCTTAAACAAACTTAGTAATTAACTGAAGTATTTGAAATAATTTTTTTCCAGGGCTTTCAAACTGCATGTCGAACAGAATCAGACATTATTTTCTCTTTAAAAAATTTAAAATCATTTATGATCGAGCCTCTCGTTTAACAAAAACCACATCTATTTAATTTAACAAAAACTCTCCAAAAAGCTTTATTTAAACTGTTATAAATTATTTAACAAAAAAATTGGTGGAAAAAAATTCTATTTAAATTAACAATTGTATATACTGAACAGTATAAATAAAAACAAATCCTCTGCAGGAATGAAAAATTTATTTAAAAAAGAATTGCACCATCCTTAATTGGATTTTAAAAAGGATTAAATGGAAAAAAGATATCATCGCTTTAAATTTTATAAATCTTTATCAATATAAGTGTCAAATTAAATATGGTTCACATTCATATACATCTAGAATGGTATACATAAAGCACATTATTATCAAATTTATCAAAATTTTGGATGTCAAAGGCCACCACAATAGAAAAAATTTAGTCAATTGTATCAGGTCTTGGTGAGGGACATCTCTTGATGACTGGGAACGGATCACTTACACCAAGCATGCTAGAATATCCTCTCATTCCAGTCGATTGGAAGTACAAAAAAACGAAATTACCTTGAAGCGGTAAATCAATTGATGCCGAAAAATTAATCTTTACTGTGCGCTCTACTGGTTCTGGCTTATCTCCTGCTGTTTCTGTGTACTCGTATCCATAATATTCATCGAATCCTGTAAAGTTTTCTGGATACACTCCAATCCAGTCTGCACTACCGACAACTATTAAAATAAATAAAATATCAAATAATTTATCATTCAATAGAATAGGTCAAGTCCCAAGTGATCTATAAATCCTCTTAAAGTCTTCACACGAATGAATCCACTTACCAAAATTAGGCGGCAATATGTATTCAACTTCATTATCTTCACTGTTGTTCCATACAGTAAGTGGATTAAATTTAATCACCAATTGACTAATATCATCATCAGGTGACTGTTCATCATCAGTTTCGTCATCAGAAAAGTGATCAGGTGCATCATGAAATTCATCATCGGATAAAGATGGTGTATCCATTTGTGTCACAGCAATTGGCGCAACCACAAGCATTGGAATTTTAATAGCATTTGATAAAGAATCAGAGAATAAAGGACGAAGTGGTTTTAAAATTTGTTCATAATTATAATAATACTCTTTGACCTATGTGAAATGAACATTAGTAAAAATGTTTAGTACCTCATGCAAAAATTATAAAAATAATAATGAGAACTTAATAAATGAATAAATTAAATCATAAAGTAATTAAAATGCATTGTTTAATGATATGGAAAAATATCCGTTGAATACAAATTAAGTTGAAAGCTTTGATGACACAGTTTAGTTATCATTTAATACCTTTAATAGTTAAACTTTAAGTTCAAATCCTATCAAACATGAAATTTAAGTTTTGGGATTTAAATTCTATTTCTTTGCCTTTTAGCAATTTTTTTTTTATCATTAGCTGCTTCATTTGGTTCATTATTTATTGAATATTAAAATACTCGAAATTCAGGATATGATGCTTTGATGCTGTGTGTTTCTTTAGAATTCTCATTTAAATACATTCTTAGGGGCCACTCACATATTAAGTAATGCAATAGTATACTAGCAGGACTTAATAGCAATTTTCTAGTCTTTCTATTCTACTACTTGCGATTTACTAGTTATTATTAAAACAACTTACTGTTAGTAAATTACACTTACTATTTACTAGCAACTTACAAGCAAATTACCATGTGAAATGTTTGATTAAATCTGCTTAAGTTCGAATCCTACGAAAAATCATCAAAAAAAAATTGTTTCTGTCATAAAAAATTTTGTTCTAAATTTGGTATTTGCCATATACTTCACAAGAGCCCGCAGAAATCACCTTTGTAAGATCGATGCAAATTTGTATGTGACTTTCAATTAATTATATATCTTCCTTTTTACTAGTAAATCGCAAGTAGCAAATGGAAATTTATCTAGTAAATTACTAGTAATTTTCTGCTAGAGGTAAACTTTATTATTTTTTTTAAAAATTCTATTTTTTTAGACTCTACCGACCCTCTTTTGTTACGTACAAGTTCCAAAATTACATACAACCCAGTCATATCTTCTAAATTGCATTGTGAAACCTTAACTTAATAATAATAATAATAATAATAATAATAACTTGCCGTATTATTAAGTTGTTGTGTCAAATGTAAAATATAATTAAATGCTTAGTAGCTATAATTTGTATGTTATTTGTAATAATAGCAGTTTAGTAAGCATAACTAAAGTTTTGCAAAGGTTAGTCATTCTACTCTACAACTATTGATTTCCTAGTTATATGAGGATTAGTAAGTCTGCATTTATGTATGTCGTTATTTGTTCCAATTAAAACAATGCTGATGCAGCCTCAATGGCATTATTAAGAGCTTTTAACTTTTAAGGGTGATGACGTTATTGTTAGTTTAAATGACTTTGCTTTGTACTGTAGATTACTGAACTTTTATGTGTGCCGTCATAAAATTACTAAGGAAATGAAGTTTAAGGATTATTTAAATAAGCTTAAAGATATTTTTCCATCATACTATGAATTTAATGAATTATGAGCTACAATGACTTAATGAATGCTAAATTAAGAGTCCTCAAAATTTATAGTAAAAAATACTCACATTTATTTTAAACTCAGACGAGACTGGCTTATGATCACTTATATCATAATTTGGATGACTTTTGTATGACACTTGTTCGAGATGCAGAGAGCAATTCTTGATAATCTTACTTCTGGCTTTGTAGAGAATGCGATCACACCACGCCGGTCTTCGTTTCATATCGTAATCGCTAGAATCAACGACAAACTTAAAGGTAGGTGGAAATTGTGGTAACCGTTCAACAAGTTCCGAAAATGCACGTCCTTCGCACATCGCTAGCGACAATTGGTCCTTCTTTATCAAGTCAGCAAGTCTATCTTCTTTGATCATTTGGCGAATTTCTTGTGGTGAATAATTATCATTTCCACTGTAGTGATTGAACAATCTGAAGTTGAGATCGCCGAACCAAAACACATAATCATGGTCGTAAATGTCCTTACAGAACTTAACACTAAAGTTTGTGGCTTCTTTTATACGTTGGTAATCGTTAATACGCTCTTCGAGCATTTCATCATGAGCAGCCAAATGAGAATTGACTAAGCATATTGAGCATCCATAACAGTTCATTCTTGTCGCTACAGCACCTTTATTTCCCTAGAAAATGATTAATGAGACTATTAAGTGTTTCCATAATTGAGTCATTAAGCTTTTTTTTCTACTGCATCACATTAAGGAATAATTCATTCACGATGTCCACAAAAGCATAGATTATGGAACAGAAGTATGAGAGGCTGGAAAATCAAATTTAAAAATTGACGTAATTTCTGAATGGTCCCTGCATGAATCAAGGGGAAATTCTTCAATCCATTTTTGTTTATATCGATTAATAGCAAATAACTTTAAAAGGATGCTACTCTGTGGATGTATTTCACGCATTGACATAAGGGATTGTTAGTCAATAACGTCCATCGGAAAATTAGATTTTTGCAGAATAATCATTCATTTGCCACAAAATGTCATTAGAACCACTCCACCATACTATTAGTTTTGGGACATCAAAAGTGAATGACCCCTAATTAGTTCATCAATCATTAACAGCACTTACCCACATTCCACCAAATCCCGTTCGTACATATTCACTTTCAATTTCTCGTATGTGATATAAATGTTTCCGTTTAACGAATATAGTAAGTAAAAGTCCTTGCATTTGTTCCGTTTTGGCAACGATATAGTCGAGTGGTTTGAGCAACTCTTTGAGCTTCTGAACCCATGGATCGGATTTGAAGAAACTTGAGACATAAGTGTGAGGATTTGCATTAACTTCCTGCAATCCGACTATGTAAAAATCAGGAAGACGTTTTTCTTTGTAGTGCAAATCGATATCGAGCAACTCGTTAAGTTTCAAAGTATCGGGATACTTTGTTGACACGTTCCATGTCACAATATATAAACTAAGTAAGAGAAATGAGAAAATGATGAACAGTGATGAACATACTTAATTGATCGTTAAACGGTTAGTATCAATCGACTTGATGACATGAGCGATCGTAAATATTAAGATAATAATTTTTTTCTTTTGGCAGAGGTTGAGGATAGTCTTTAATAAAATGACTGAAGTTTTAATTTTCAAATGTTTTGATGAAATTGATAAATTGGTTTTTGATTATTTTTGATCATTTTCACATTTATTTTGGGTGTCTCGAGAACCAAAACAAACCCGAGTTGATAGCTAGATGCAACTTAATGTCTAGTTCTAAGGAAGACTAGTCTGACAAAGATGTATCTAGTCGTCTTCAGAACTAGATTTTAACTAGACGATTCTTCAAACTAGTCACAAATCAGTAAAAAGTCATCGACAAATTAATTAAAACTTTTCCAAAAAAAAAAATTCAAAAATTATCAAAACATCGAAAGATGGATTAAAGAACCGTTAAATAATTGGCTGCAGATATGAATTCAGTGCCAAACATATCAAAAAAAAAAAAAATTTACACAATCATTTTCAACCTCTGAGCACCTCTAGCTCATGAAATACATTTTAAATTTATTCAGACAGAAATTTTGAGCAAGAAAGAAAACTTGGCAATAATCAGACATTATTGAAACATGATGAAAAGTAAACATACTTAAAAAACCATGTGTTGTGTAGACCCCAAAAAGTAACCGCGAAATTCCACAATTGTAACACTTTATTTTGCTATAAACTTATGAGTAAGAGCATAAGCAATGTGGTATATTAATAAATAAGTTATTACATCACCTAAAAACACAAGTTATACGTCTTACGATGAGCGTGAGATAAAAATAATTTCCATATTCAATTTTTTTTATTTTTCCTCACACAATCGTTTGTCTACGTCAAGTACCTATTTACAATTTCTTTATGACTTTAATTAAATTTTCATTTTCAATTCATATTGTACTTTTATAGGCAAAACAAGATTTATTCACGATCACTTTTTAGAAGTCAAGCTAATTGACCTTCGATCACATGCGGGCTAACATGATTCTAATGGCCTTGAACTTAATCTGCTTTATTTATAGATTTTTATCCACTCACCTCAAATTCCACATTGTAAACTAATCCGCAAATTCTTCCTCTCTAAAATCACGATTTTTCAAAGCGAACTTTTCACAATTTTCACACTCTTAATTCAATTATTTGCGAGACCATTAACGGAATGAACCTTTTGAGTTTATTTCATGCTTGTAAAAGTTTATTGAATGAAATGGCAGAAAGGCTGAAAAATGCGAGAAATAAAAAGATATGTTTGTAGAAGCGCTATGAGTCCACTTGTGCTTGTTCAATGCACTATTGTTGTTAATAATTTATTTATATAATTATATTGCAGTATTTACGGCTCCTAACGTATGGATAAATTATGTACGATGATTGATGACATGCATTTGTTCCAACTAGCTTTGTTTTAATCGATTGTGATGATCGTTTTTATTTAATGACTTGGCTTGAAGTGCTTGAAAATCTTACAAATGTTTTTTAAATGTGAGACATTGTAAGGTTTTTAAATTTTAACGGAAGATTGAAATTTGAATTCTTTTGTTCAATGTTACAGAACCATTCAATAGTTAAGTTAAACTCTAATTTGTATGGTTTCAAAATTTAAATTTCAAACAGTTATAATAGCTCAAAAAACCGTTAAATTAAAAAGCAACGTGCAATGTTGGAATCCCTAAACTTGCACAATAAAAATCACATTGCCAAAGTCTCATCCACAAAAATTTCTCACTTAACTTCCCATATGTTTGAAATATTTTGTAGATTCATTAATCTTAAGATAGAAAAATTCTCAACTACACGACAATGTTTTCACAGACGGACTGGATAGTGTTGAGTTAAAAATCGATAACAGGTTTGAGATAAGATAAAAATATACACAGCAAAAATTTTTTTTTTATAATCACAATCAACGCATAAAAAATTAACAAAAACCGACTTTAACTGCTACTTAAATTATGTTGGCCATGAAACAATACACACAATTGAATAGGAAATTGCTTGATTGATATCAATATAAATGACTTTTTTTTGGAGATTGATTACTTATTGGGAAATATTTGCATGACTCAATCTTAAGTTTTCGGATGTTTCTATCTTTTTTGTTCAATGTCATCACATGATTTCTGGTTGCAAAAGCACTCTAATTATCTACTTTAATTTACCATACCACGACAATTCACTAGTCAATTAGAAATTAATGAATCACAAAAAAATTAAATTTGAAATTTTGGGTAAAAAAATGCATACTTTGATTCTTTTTGATTGTTTTCGTAGTGATCTATTGAATTTTGATGTTGATTAAGATACAAACAGGTATATATGTTGAATCCACATTCGAAAAATTGACACAAAGTTAATTTAATTAATTTTTCTAGTATTTTAATAAAGATTTATAAATAAATTTTAATAATTGCACAAAGAATGCAGCTAATTTGTCAATATTAAGTAAAATTTGCGTTCGATTAAAGCTAAATCGATTAATTATACTACAATTAATGAACTAAGACTAAGCAAAGTTTTGCTACTTTTAAAATCTTAAAAACGTTCAGTGGTGTGCTTATTTTATGTTTATATTCGAAAATTCATTGAGCTTAGATTTTGTCAATCAAACTAGCTTTATGTGATTTAATTTGAAAGATCTAGTTTTGTTTTATTAATGTCTGAAAGATTAAGTCATGAAACTATGTCTAATTTTAAACATTTCAAGTCAAATATTTTCGATAATAAACAATAGTGAAATTAAATGGTAGGAAACATTTATAATATTCACACCGTATTTAAACATTTCTTAATTTGTCAGCTGATTTCAATTTTCTTTCATCAAAATATTAAAATTTCAAGTTTTAGATTCAAATTTTCAGTTTAATAGTTTGAATCTTGAAGTAATTTAAAGTCACTGAAGGCTTGGATTTCATCAATAATATATTTTTTCTTTGAAAATTATCATTTACCTGCTTGATAAATTGGAATCAGGTAGATAAGGATATACTTAAATATAAATAAGAACAATGATTAAACTAATTTAGAGAAATGATTATAAGAACCCAATTTGTCTACACTATGCTGTCTGAGTAGGGTTTGTGGAAAACAACTGTTTTTGAAAAACAGTCTGTTTTCGGTTTTTGATTTTTAAAAACAGCTGTTTTCCTGTTTTTCTAGAATTCAAAAAAAACTTATTTATCCTAAGTTTTTCTATAAGATAATGAAACTTTTTGGTGGTTATAAGCAGTTAAGCATACTTTACAGAGCTAAGTATTATTATTTCTTAACTTTTAAAATGAAATATAAAAATGCAAAAAAATCAAAAAAAATATTTATACGTTTAAGAAACATTGCATTGTTGCATTGTAAAAGTTCCAAAAACTTTAATATTGTATATTTCAAATATTCATAAAATCATTCTAAAAAAAATATGTTGTAGAATTGTTGATTATATTTTTGAACTAATGTTACAAAAGGTTCAATAAATTTAAAATTTCAATTGCCAAATTAATAATGATTAATCATAAATTTAATAATGATTTCAAACCTATTAAACATCCAAAAAATATTAAAAAGTAAATACATTTCAATTTGAATTTCTAGAAAAAAATATTAAGTTCTTCAAAAAATTTAGAAAATTTTTTTCTGTAAATTATATGTAAAAATGAAAAACAGAAAACAGATCTGTTTTCTGTTAACAGATTTTTGTCAAAAAACAGCTGTTTTTCTGTTTTCTGTTAACAGATTCCCCAAACCCTATAAGAACCCAATTTGTCTACACTATGCTGTGTGAGACGGTGTGGATATAGAAAAATATAGCCATCAGTGAACAAACATTCGAGAACTGAATAGATCTTATAATGGATAATCTTAGCTCAAAAAACATTAATTAAGTTTAGTTACTACAAACACGTCTAGCATAAATCATCTCTCTGAATTACTTCAAACTAGTAAAAGTTATATTTAAGTAAATCCAATATAGTTAAATTGAGTGAAAAGAAGGCAGTAAAAAATTATAATTTTAGTCATTAAAAGAAGAAAAATTTTCTTCAATGTTTAAAAATATTTTTCAAAATATTAAAGTCTTAGCACAAATCAATTCCATGAGCTCACGATCAACATCTACAGCGACCAATTATGGAGATTATGTTAAATTTCTGGAATTAGTTGGAAATTGCAAAGTAAGTTTTGAATTTCATCAGAAAAAAATGCTCAATTGACCTCGAAAAAGGAAAAAAAAGTAGGAACAAGAAAAAGAAAATCTTTTTTTTTCATGGTCATAGCTATAAAGTATTGTCATTTTTCACTGCATTAAATACACACAAAAACCAGATGATGATGATATTTGTGTATACAAAAAAGTGTTTCTCTCAATCTTCGTCACATGATAGATACTTCCAATGTTGCCTTCATTGTAGTCACAAAAAAGCTTTGTCAGTGAAAAATCCCGGAATGAAAAGAAAGAAAATTGCCCTTTACGCAATCACTAATGTGGACTATTTTTTTCTTTTTTTAAATTCTTTTTAGCAAATTAAGCGTACAGGATGGGTACTGCGCAATGTTGATGATCCAGAAACAATATCAGGACATATGTATCGGATGAGTGTCATGTCATTTATTATTCCTAAGGAGAGTGAAATTGATCGTATAAAATGTATGAAGCTAGCATTAATCCACGACTTGGCTGAGAGTATAGTTGGAGACATCACACCTTATTGTGGCATTAGTAAGCAGGAAAAGAGGCTAAGGGAGCATAATGCAATACTTGAGATATGTAGTTTGCTTGATAAAAACAGTTCTGAGGAAGTTTTGACTTTATTTGAAGAGTACGAGAATCAAGAAACAGATGAAGCACAACTTGTGAAAGATTTTGATCTTTACGATATGATATTACAAGCATACGAGTATGAGAAACGCGATCAAGCACCAAACAAGTATGAGGAGTTCTTCATCAACACTAAAGGAAGATTCAAGACAGATTTCGTTCGGAAGTTGGTCGATGAATTGCAGAAACAACGTGAGGAATTTCATGAAAATTTCACATCAAATTTAAAGAAGGAGAACCAAAGTGCAAGTTGATCGAAAGAGCAATCTTAAAACCCATATATACATATACTTAAATCTAAATTTAGCTAGCCCAAGTCTCACTCAAAAAAGTGCTATTGAGAAAGAAGAAAATTCAATTTTTCTTTATTTTAAGAGAAAAAGATCTCCATTCACTAACAAAAAAATCTATATTTTTTATTTTCTGTCTTTTGTTATTTATTTTCCTTTCATTTACGGGTATCATATCCGATAATTTGTAATGTGCAAGTGATTGACATTTGATTTTTTTTTTTGATGATGATTGAAATTTGATAGAGGAGTAATAAAAGCGATGTGAAAGAAGCATAGAAGGCTAATAAGAAGTTTACATTTATTTATAATCGATTTTTGTTAACGTGCGTCAAGTCCTTACTCATTCATGCAGAGATTTATACTTTCATTTTTCAATGATTTTCTTCATTTAAGGAAAATCGATAAAAAACTAGCGTATCGGGTAGAAACCCAATGCGGATATATTCACACCGTTCCATCAAAAGTCTTATGGATAACCAAGATTTGCTCAGCATAAGTTTGAAGGGTGGACGTGAAGTACGGCCGAGACCTATATCGAAACAGTTCAAAAGTTATACCTAATTTATGTCATAATTTTGTCAGCTACAAAAACACTTAGTTTGAATTTTGTCACCCTCGGGAACACTATGAACCAGTATAGCTGATTTTGGTCCAAATCTCGGCCATACTTCACACTTATTTGAACCACATTTTCTCGTAAATGTTAAAATATTATTAAAAAGGAATTAATCCTGAATTATGTCGCTATTTTGTCAAGTGTTTTAAGATAAAGAATTTGTTTTTTGGTTTCCACAGTTAAGAGTATGAACCAAATTCAGATGGGGTAGGCGAAATTTTAGATTTCGATATTTTTTAAGCTATGCATTACAAAAAGTAATATTGGTATGTGATTTATGTCAGAATTATGTCAACTAAGTCCCAGTACAAAAAATTTTTTTGACCAAAGTACACCATTGAAAATCAAATTTCAATTTTGGACTAGGGGCGACCCTAGTCAAAATCAATTTTGTCACTTTTTTCTTTGAGGGTTTATCCAAATGGATTGAAACTTTGCATAAATATTCAAGTGCTTAAACCATCCTAAAATTTTTCTGAGCAAAGAACCAAGTAGGAAAAACATTTTCTATTTTGGACTAGGGGCGACCCTAGTCAAAATCAATTTTCTCACTTTTTTCTTCGAGGGTTTATCCAAATGGATTGAAACTTTGCACAAATATTCTAGTGCTTAAAGCAAATACAAATAAAACAACCTACAATTTTTTTGAGCAAAGAACCAAGTAGGAAAAACATTTTCTATTTTGGACTAGGGGCGACCCTAGTCAAAATCAATTTTCTCACTTTTTTCTTCGAGGGTTTATCCAAATGGATTGAAACTTTGCATAAATATTTAAGTGCTTAAAACATCCTAAAATTTTTCTGAGCAAAGAACCAAGTAGGAAATACATTTTCAATTTTGGACTAGGGGCGATCTAGTCAAAATCAATTTTGTCACTTTTTTCTTCGAGGGTTTATCCAAATGGATTGAAACTTTGCACAAATATTCAAGTGCTAAAAACGAATACAAATAAAACATCCTAAAATATTTTTGAGTAAAGAACCAAGTAGGAAATACATTTTCAATTTGTGACTAGGGGCGACCCTAGTCCAAAATAAATTTTGTCACTTTTTTCTTCGATGGTTTATCCAAATGGATTGAAACTTAGCATAAATATTCTAGTGCTTAAAACAAATACAAATAAAACATCCTAAAATATTTTTGAGCAAAGAACCAAGTAGGAAATACATTTTCAATTTTGGAATAGGGGCGACCCTAGTCAAAATCAATTTTGTCACTTTTTTCTTCGAGGGTTTATCCAAATGGATTGAAACTTTGCACAAATATTCAAGTGCTAAAAACGAATACAAATAAAACATCTTAAAATTTTTTTGAGTAAAGAACCAAGTAGGAAATACATTTTCAATTTGTGACTAGGGGCGACCCTAGTCCAAAATAAATTTTGTCACTTTTTTCTTCGATGGTTTATCCAAATGGATTGAAACTTTGCATAAATATTCTAGTGCTTAAAACAAATACAAATAAAACATCCTAAAATATTTTTGAGCAAACACCAAGTAGGAAATACATTTTCAATTTTGGAATAGGGGCGACCCTAGTCAAAATCAATTTTGTCACTTTTTTCTTCGAGGGTTTATCCAAATGGATTGAAACTTTGCACAAATATTCAAGTGCTTAAAACAAATACAAATAAAACATCCTAAAATTCTTTTGAGTAAAGAACCAAGTAGGAAAAACATTTTCAATTTTGGACTAGGGGCGACCCTAGTCCAATCAATTTTGTCACTTTTTTCTTCGAGGGTTTATCCAAATGGATTGAAACTTTGCACAAATATTCTAGTGCTTAAAGCAAATACAAATAAAACAACCTACAATTTTTTTGAGCAAAGAACCAAGTAGGAAAAACATTTTCTATTTTGGACTAGGGGCGACCCTAGTCAAAATCAATTTTCTCACTTTTTTCTTTGATGGTTTATCCAAATGGATTGAAACTTTGCATAAATATTTAAGTGCTTAAAACATCCTAAAATTTTTCTGAGCAAAGAACCAAGTAGGAAATACATTTTCAATTTTGGACTAGGGGCGATCTAGTCAAAATCAATTTTGTCACTTTTTTCTTCGAGGGTTTATCCAAATGGATTGAAACTTTGCACAAATATTCAAGTGCTAAAAACGAATACAAATAAAACATCCTAAAATATTTTTGAGTAAAGAACCAAGTAGGAAATACATTTTCAATTTGTGACTAGGGGCGACCCTAGTCCAAAATAAATTTTGTCACTTTTTTCTTCGATGGTTTATCCAAATGGATTGAAACTTAGCATAAATATTCTAGTGCTTAAAACAAATACAAATAAAACATCCTAAAATATTTTTGAGCAAAGAACCAAGTAGGAAATACATTTTCAATTTTGGAATAGGGGCGACCCTAGTCAAAATCAATTTTGTCACTTTTTTCTTCGAGGGTTTATCCAAATGGATTGAAACTTTGCACAAATATTCAAGTGCTAAAAACGAATACAAATAAAACATCTTAAAATTTTTTTGAGTAAAGAACCAAGTAGGAAATACATTTTCAATTTGTGACTAGGGGCGACCCTAGTCCAAAATAAATTTTGTCACTTTTTTCTTCGATGGTTTATCCAAATGGATTGAAACTTTGCATAAATATTCTAGTGCTTAAAACAAATACAAATAAAACATCCTAAAATATTTTTGAGCAAACACCAAGTAGGAAATACATTTTCAATTTTGGAATAGGGGCGACCCTAGTCAAAATCAATTTTGTCACTTTTTTCTTCGAGGGTTTATCCAAATGGATTGAAACTTTGCACAAATATTCAAGTGCTTAAAACAAATACAAATAAAACATCCTAAAATTCTTTTGAGTAAAGAGCCAAGTAGGAAAAACATTTTCAATTTTGGACTAGGGGCGACCCTAGTCCAATCAATTTTGTCACTTTTTTCTTCGATGGTTTATCCAAATGGATTGAAACTTTGCATAAATATTCAAGTGCTTAAAACATCCTAAAATTTTTCTGAGCAAAGAACCAAGTAGGAAATACATTTTCAATTTTGGACTAGGGGCGACCCTAGTCAAAATCAATTTTGTCACTTTTTTCTTCGAGGGTTTATCCAAATGGATTGAAACTTTGCACAAATATTCAAGTGCTAAAAACGAATACAAATAAAACATCCTAAAATATTTTTGAGTAAAGAACCAAGTAGGAAATACATTTTCAATTTGTGACTAGGGCGACCCTAGTCCAAAATAAATTTTGTCACTTTTTTCTTCGATGGTTTATCCAAATGGATTGAAACTTTGCATAAATATTCTAGTGCTTAAAACAAATACAAATAAAACATCCTAAAATATTTTTGAGCAAAGAACCAAGTAGGAAATACATTTTCAATTTTGGAATAGGGGCGACCCTAGTCAAAATCAATTTTCTCACTTTTTTCTTCGATGGTTTATCCAAATGGATTGAAACTTTGCATAAATATTTAAGTGCTTAAAACATCCTAAAATTTTTCTGAGCAAAGAACCAAGTAGGAAATACATTTTCAATTTGTGACTAGGGGCGACCCTAGTCAAAATCAATTTTCTCACTTTTTTCTTCGATGGTTTATCCAAATGGATTGAAACTAGGGGCGACCCTAGTCCAAAATAAATTTTGTCACTTTTTTCTTCGATGGTTTATCCAAATGGATTGAAACTTTGCATAAATATTCTAGTGCTTAAAACAAATACAAATAAAACATCTAAAAATATTTTTGAGCAAAGAACCAAGTAGGAAATACATTTTCAATTTTGGACTAGGGTCGACCCTAGTCAAAATCAATTTTGTCACTTTTTTCTTCGAGGGTTTATCCAAATGAATTGAAACTTTGCATAAATATTCTAATGCTTAAAACAAATACAAATAAAACATCTTAAAATATTTTTGAGCAAAGAACCAAGTAGGAAATACATTTTCAATTTTGGACTAGGGGCGACCCTAGTCAAAATCAATTTTCTCACTTTTTTCTTCGATGGTTTATCAAAATGGATTGAAACTTTGCATAAATATTCAAGTGCTTAAAACATCCTAAAATTTTTCTGAGCAAAGAACCAAGTAGGAAATACATTTTCCATTTTGGACTAGGGGCGACCCTAGTCAAAATCAATTTTGTCAATTTTTTATTCGAGGGTTTATCCAAATATTTCAATCCATCGAATCCAATTCAAAGAAAAAAAGTGAAAACTAGATTTTGACTGGACCTGTCCCAAGTTCATAATTGAAAATGTATTTCCTACTTGGTTCTTTGCATAAAAAAAATTTTAAGATGTTTTAATTGTATTTGTTTTAAGCACTAGAATATTTATGCAAAGTTTCAATCCATTTGGATAAACCCTCGAAGAAAAAAGTGAGAAAATTGATTTTGACTAGGGTCGCCCCTAGTCCAAAATTTAAAATGTGTTTCCTTCTTGTTTCTTTGCTCGGAAAAATTTAAAGATGTTATATTTGTATTTCTTTTAAGCACTAGAATATTTATGCAAAGTTTCAATCCATTTGGATAAACCCTCGAAGAAAAAAGTGACAAAATTGATTTTGACTATGGTCGCCCCTAGTCCAAAATTGAAAATGTATTTCCTTCTTGGTTCTTTGCTCAAAAAAATTTTAGGATGTTTTAATTGTATTTGTTTTAAGCACTAGAATATTTATGCAAAGTTTCAATATATTTGGATAAACCATCGAAGAAAAAAGTGAGAAAATTGATTTTGACTAGGGTCGCCCCTAGTCCAGAATTGAAAGTGTATTTCCTTCTTGGTTCTTTGCTCAAAAAAATTTTAAGACGTTTTATTTGTATTTGTTTTAAGCACTAGAATATTTATGCAAAGTTTCAATCCATTTGGATAAACCCTCGAAGAAAAAAGTGACAAAATTGATTTTGACTATGGTCGCCCCTAGTCCAAAATTGAAAATGTATTTCCTTCTTGGTTCTTTGCTCAAAAAAATTTTAAGACGTTTTATTTGTATTTGTTTTAAGCACTAGAATATTTATGCAAAGTTTCAATTTATTTGGATAAACCCTCGAAGAAAAAAGTGACAAAATTGATTTTGACTAGGGTCGCCCCTAGTCCAGAATTGAAAGTGTATTTCCTTCTTGGTTCTTTGCTCAAAAAAATTTTAAGACGTTTTATTTGTATTTGTTTTAAGCACTAGAATATTTATGCAAAGTTTCAATCCATTTGGATAAACCCTCGAAGAAAAAAGTGACAAAATTGATTTTGACTATGGTCGCCCCTAGTCCAAAATTGAAAATGTATTTCCTTCTTGGTTCTTTGCTCAAAAAAATTTTAAGACGTTTTATTTGTATTTCTTTTAAGCACTAGAATATTTATGCAAAGTTTCAATCCATTTGGATAAACCCTCGAAGAAAAAAGTGACAAAATTGATTTTGACTATGGTCGCCCCTAGTCCAAAATTGAAAATGTATTTCCTTCTTGGTTCTTTGCTCAAAAAAATTTTAGGATGTTTTAATTGTATTTGTTTTAAGCACTAGAATATTTATGCAAAGTTTCAATATATTTGGATAAACCATCGAAGAAAAAAGTGAGAAAATTGATTTTGACTAGAAGTCTCTACAATGTCTCGTTATTGAGATTTCTTGCTGATTAACTTGCTTGCTTGTTTGCTTTCAGAAAGCGTATTTTTCGATTTTCTCAGCAATGCCTCAATCAATTTGAAATCTATTTTTTGCAAAAGATGTGAAATTCCAGGCACAAACTTCTCATCTCTGAACATTTTAAGCTATTTTGCTCCATATCCTCACAAAATTCAAAAAACTGATCTTTTAATCTGAACAAAACCAATAGATTCACACGTGAAAACGGTGTGAATATAAATATTTCTTACAAATCTTAACGAATCTTTGAAATTCAAATTTCGAAACGGTTTTCAAAAGTTTGAATCTGTTTTTTGAAAATATATCAACACAAGTTTTTCTAGTAAACAGTTGTCAAAAAATCATTAATTTCATATTTATACAGTATATTAAATCATTTAACACTTACTAATCATAATGGCAGCAATACCAAGTGATGATGTCTTTGACACAACAGAAGTAAGTCCTTAATTTTCTTGTTTTAACGACAAAAATTGAAAATAAATTATTTTCGTTGTTAAGTTTGATGAAGAGGAAGCTCAGGAAGATTATGCTGAAATTACAGGAGGCAGGAAGCGGTTATTTAGCAAGGAATTACGCTGTATGATGTATGGATTTGGCGATGATCAGAATCCATACACAGAAAGTGTTGATTTATTAGAGGATTTAGTCATTGAATTTATTACGGAACTTACACATAAGGCTTCAGAAATTAGGAACAAGAGCGGAAAGGTAAGCCTTTTCAGTAGTACAACTAGATCAATAAAATATCAAAATCATTAATTGCAGGTTCAATGCGAGAATATCATTTTCCTAGTAAGAAAAGATCCCAGAAAATATGCGAGAGTTCGTGACCTACTTACAATGAACGAAGAGCTGAAAAAAGCTCGAAAGGCTTTCGATGAAGTTAAATACGTCTCAAATTAATTATCGTTTCCTTTATTTCTTAAAAACTTAATACCTTTACTCAAAAAATATAATAAAACGGATAAGGAATTTACAGCATAAATCTTGAAATATGTTAATTAACTTTCCATGGCTTCTCCATCGCTTACTTCACATAACTCATCTTCAGCCAGTTTTGATATCACCTTAATCATATTGCTTGTATCACCGTTAAATTTGTTATCACCAGTGAAATTCAGATTGAAGCTAGAAAGAAGTAAAAATGTGTTTAATGCATGTAACAATGTTTGAAAACCGTACAAAAGTTTACGATTTTTAAAGAATTTGTATTGTTTTAGAATTTAAAATTTGTTTTAAATTGTTAAAACCATACAAATTTTTGAAAGAAATTGTACGGTTTTGAATTCAAAATTTCAGTTATTTCAAACCGTGCTGCTTACCTTTTTAAATCATCGATATTATTGACGTCCAGAACCTTTTGGAAATCCTTTTCGAACTTTCCAGAGTACCGCAAGATTCCATAGGTAGCAAAATCAATAATTGATGAGTCTTTAAAGTCGATTTTTACATTATCGCCAAGTATGTCTATTCCAAGATTGCAGTTCTCAATTCGACTGTTATTAAACTCAATTTTTGTCATGTCATCAACGTTTAAAGCTGTTGCAAAGTGTTTAATCACACAGTTTTCAAAAACTACAGAACTATCACCAGAAATGTTTAATCCTTCAGATATTGTCGACTCTTTTGATTCAAGTCCAAGAATTAAGCAGTTTTTCAGTACGACAGATCCAGTTTTTACGAGAAATCCAGTTTTAACGTTCCTGCAATCGATAATTAAGTTTTCAAACTTCATATCTCCATCTATAACAAATAGCATAGCTGCTTTATCGGCTGAGCATAATGTCGAGTAATCATTGTCATTATCGATGTGATTTAAATGCTGTTCCAATTTTTCAACGCCACAGAATAGTAAATTGTTATTTAAATAGTCAAGAAAGTTGAATGAGTAACGGCCTTGTGGAATATAAATTTCAGTATCAATAGTTGAGCATGAAATTGCATCGCAGAGATTCTTCATCCAAGTTATTGGCGTGTCTGATGAAACTTTATCTTTGAGTTTCTCTAAAAGCTGCATTTGTTCATTGATTGTTCCGTTCTTTGATATCACAAATGTCTGCTTATTTAATTCTTGCTTTTGTCCAAACTTAACTGTTTCATAAGCTTCTCGCATTTCAGAATTTACAAGGATCCCAATTTCGTGCTTAATTTTGTTCATTCTCAAATCAAAGTCTAGCAATTTAGCGATTGTTTGTTTAGATGACTCTTTCATTTCGTCTATAGACGTGTCATTATCCTCAATTGAATTAGACAATATGTCGCTCCTGAACTGGATGTACTTTACTTCCTCTATTATCTGTCTTATATATGAGGAGATTCCTTTACTCAATTTCTTATTTTTCAGGTCATAAAACAGTTTAACTCGAGATTCTAAATTCTTTGTCATCCAGGTCTTATCATCGTCAGCATCAAAAGGTAGGAATATGTAATTATAAAAGAATCGATATCCATCGATATGGTCAGCAGTGATTTCAACATTTAAACAGTCATTTTCTTGATATATAGTTGGAAAAACATCCTCAATTGGAACTTGACAAACTTCTGGCAACTGGATGTTATCATCTTGAACTTGCTCAATCAGGAAGTCAACTGTAAGGTCGTCAAAGTCTGTATTTTTAATTTCTCCAAAAACTTCAGCTGGGAATGAGATGTTGAGCATTTCACACATTCCTTTTGAGATTTTCCATACTGCTTTATAGCCAGCACCTTCACTAAATTAGAAATTATATTATTCCTGGATCTTTTTGATTAAATTGCATCAATAAAACTTACACTGAAGTTTCAAGAAAGTCTCGCCACATACTCTTGATTGATCCACAAACAGATTCATCGAGAACGAGTGAGAATTCATTTAATCTCTGCTGAAATGACTTTTCAAACGTATAAATCTTCATTTTAGCTAGTTTAATTCACTTTTTCTTCCGGATGTTTTGAACTGTTAGATCAAGAATTTTAAAAATTCAAAAAATTTTAACCGTTAATAAGAAATGAAGTTGCACCCCCTTGCAAAATATTATGAAATTAAGCGCGAAAATCTGTCAAAACAAAGTTGAAATTGAATTTAATTAAACTAAAGGATTTACAATGTCAAGAGACAAAGAATTGATAAGAAAGTTTAATCAACATCCTGATAAACGTGAAGAGCTTCTAGATAGCTTAAATTCCGATGAGATCTCGAATTTAATAATAACAAACACAACTGGATCCAAGAATATTGGCTTTAATTTATTCTGTAGTGCATTAAATATTAAGGATGAAGATAAACTTTTCGACATCATTGAGAATGTAAGATAGATCAAGATAAATATCCACTTATCCATTAATATAATGAATTCACAGATATTGCCACGATTAAACAGAGATGAATTGTCAGTCAGGGAATTGCAAGACTTCTTCTCTCGCTTGTGCATTGAATTAAATAAGAAGTCATTAGTTTTTGTTGTTAGAACTGCATATTTGTGCTATGGGTGTATATCAACTGGAGATTCAAGAGCTATTTTCTATAAAGATATCCTTCCGATTTGCCTAAAGCTCCTTTCGAGAAATGAAGCTAAATCAGTCGAATTTGATTCTGTAATTAAGCCATGTAAAGAATACAGACAAGATATCATCAATCTGATACTAAAGAAGCCTTTTTGTATTTCTACATTGACCAATTTAGTATCAATGTTCAAGTAAGTTTTTTTTAAAATTAATTAAGGCTTCGGCTAATTATTTTTAACCCTCCCTCATTCACTACAGAGATATTGAACTGTCACAAGCACAACAAAGCCTGCTAATTACAAAAATTAGCGAGAACATTTGTCAAGTCAGTCAAAATGACATCTCGAACCTAGCACTCGTGACATTCCAAATAGCATCTTATAATCAAATTATAATCCCTCTGCTTGCACTTGACAAATATTTCTTAAAGAGACGATATAAATACGAGTTTAGCGAACTTGAAACAACGCCTGATAGTGTTGAAGAGACGTCATCGGAAGGAACGATTCAAGCAGAAGAAACAGTCATTTATCACTTTCAGAGTTATGCGGAATTCACAACACTCGAGAAGGATATAACGAATGCATTGAAGGTGAAAATTATATAAATGGCTTGATAGAATAGATTCTTAATGCAATTTTCGATGGATTTGTTCGATTTATGATTATTTTGTCATGGCTGTTATTTTGGAGCTAATGCATGCCTTGGCTATCTTTGGTCGAACAATTTTTGACTTGAAATTGACAATTTTTAAATTTTTGAAAGTCGTTTAATTTTGAACATTTATTGAACAGTCAAGTTTTTACTTGATTCGATTTGAAGTTATTCAATTAAAGAAATCCATTGTCTTTGATTAGCATAAAAGCATTCAATCAGCCAAAAACAAACAAAATTATCATTTAATTTATGCATTGAATCTTTATTAATGTTCCATATATTCAGTCTGAAAAATCCCATCTCTATGCAAATTAAGAACAATTAATCAAATTTCAATTTATCTCATTCATTTCTCCACAGACTCTTGAATACGCGCCAAATTTGATTCTCTCTCCCTTTCTGTCAATCATTCTCGTGTCAATTGCAAAAATTTCATCGTCTGTTCATGGAAATTTCCGTCTAAATCAATCCACAATTTTGCCTTTCATGAAGCAAATGTTCAAGTTCAATGAGGAACATCGAAATATCTTGAAGACAAGTGGATGGGCAAGGACAATAGATCCAGTTGATGCTGTGAACACGGAACCACTATTGAGAATATTGAAGCAAAATACTTGTGGTTTAAAGCAAGATCTAGCATTGAATGGTCTTTTTGGCTTGTCATTTTTGCTGCTCAAGACAAAATCATCAACGGAGCTCAATAAATTTGCTGTAGAATTTCTCAACGAGATTATTAGAAATCGTCCGGAATTTACAAGTGACATAATGCACATAATTGTTAAAATGCTGTTCTGTGAGAAAAATAAAGGACCAATAATCGAGTGCTTTTCAAGTTTTGTTCAAAATCGCTATCTTGACATAAAAGCTAGTGAACCAGCGTTAAGGAAGCTCATTGAAGACTTGACAGAACTGGATTTAGATACAGCATTATCAATTGAGAGCGTTATATTCACAGCTATAACAAAATCAGTTGATTTAAGAGATTTAATGATTGATATAATGAAGAAAGCAATGTATCAAAGGAACGTCCTGGAAATTAGAAAAATGGCAGTTCTATCATTTTGTATCATGCTAAGAAAATTCACAAAAGCACGCTCATCTGGCAATCAGCCACGATTTTCCCATAATATATCAATGTTTTCCTTAACACAATCACAAATTGCCGTCAATTCAACATCCAACAAGAATGTACGTCAAGCGGAGATAATCATGTTAGAGATTCTCGGACTGTTGAGACGATGTTTCTCGGAAAACAAGGAAATCAAAGTCATGCTGTATGAAAGTCTCTTTAATTCAATTTCTGCAAACAGTGATATTATTCCTTATATAGTCGAGTTCTTGGATAGCCATTTCAGAATGTAAGTATATTGAATGAAATGAGGTTCTGTGGGATTAGGGGCCGTTCACTTATTACGTTACGCAAAAAAACGACTTTTTTTCACCCCCCCCCCCCCTTTTTACAATATGTTACAACTCACCCCCCCCCCCCCCCCCCTGAACGTTCATAATTTATTTTATTTTGATAATTTTTTATAGGTTTTATGATTGTATTTTAAAGTAATGTAAATTTTTTTAACTGTAAATTTTTAAAAATTTATAAGATCTAATTTCAAACTTAATTCCACAGGTACTTTGAATGCGACAACGACGAAGATAGAGAGATTATAATTAATTTCGAGAAATTATTTAAATCCACCAAGAACGGCGAAGAATTTATTGTGATGGATGAACTGGGACATCTACTTAAATTTATTATCAATTGCATGATAATGACAACAGAACAGCACGAGAAATTAAATTGCGACATTGAGATTTATGAGAAGATTCTAAAGAAATTAATTGAAAAATCTTTAAGTGCAACGTTGGACAATTTGCATGTCTTTTCCGCAATTAATAGTCAGAACAGCATTATTATGTCACAATTCCTTAATTGCCTTGAAGCTCTTATGATTTATTGTTTTCATAAAATAAAGGATGACAGTGAAAACATTACAAAAATAATGATGCTATTTGCCAAGCATCAAAAAATTCAACAAAAGGCAAAGAAGATGCTTGAAAATCACAAAAAAGCACAAAAGTCAGACAAGAATGTGTCAGTAACAAAGAAAAATGAAAAAATTGAATTCAAATTAAACTGCTGTATTTGGAATCTCCGTGACTGCTGTGGATTCTTAAGAGCTATATTCAACGATAACGGAAATGAGAAAATGAATGAAATGAAACAAGATAAAGATTTCTGTAAATTTGTTCTCGAAACGACAGCACAGACATTAAAGAGCATCGAAACATCATCTGACTATACGAAAATCAAATATAGTCGCTCAGTTTTCGAGTCATTTTTACACACTTCAATGATTCTTTATCAGCAATTGAATCTCGATACATTTAAAGTCTTTTATGAAAGCTATAGTGCTGAATGTGCAGCATCAATGGTTGAAGCGTTTAATTACGCAATTTGTGGCATGGAAACGTCATATTGTGGCAAAAAAGATAAATGGATTCGATTTTTAAAAATGTTAACAAAAAAATCCATCGATGACTATGAGAGCATGCTAATGGAAGTAATTGATAGAATTCAGAAACTTATCGAGTGGGGATTTGAAGTCGATAAAGTTAAACAAGATTTTGTATCAAGCGGGAACGGATCAACAGTTTTGAATAATTTATTTGGAACATTGGAAGTGTTGTATAGAAAATTAGAGGACGAAAGAAACTATAGGCAGTGCTTTAATTGGATTTTGGGAATTTGCAAGAAAACAAGTATCAAGCATAAAAGTCTTGCAACATGTGTAATTAAGCTTCTCATGAATTGCATCAGTCAACATGAAAACTCATTGCTAATTGACTGTATAGCACATAAAATTGCTACATGCTTTAAATATCGTCGTGTCATGAATGAACCTGAGAGTTTTGGACACAACAATTTGTCGATAATTGGAAAGCAGACAACTATTGATGAGGCATTCACGGAATTTCTGGAATTCATGAAAGCTCAATTAAATGTTATTGATATCTACATAAAGCGTGCTAATAGTTTTAATGCATATGCTCGTCTGGATGTTCAGGAATCACGTCATGAAACTTTTAGTAATTTACAACAGATAGAAACAGCCATTTGCACGAAGCTAGTAACGTTGGGCAAGTCAATTGAGAGAATTGGAAGTGCAAATTTTCCAGTAACGACAAGAAATATCGAGAAAATTGTCGGAATTGTCAATGTCTATTATAAATGTCTTGAGAGTATAATGAAGCACTTCCGTAAACATTATGATATTAAAAATATAAATTATCAATGTATTGGCATCGAGGAATTGATAAAATACTCGAAGAAGTTTGCAATTTGTATTTATGGAATAGCGCCGTACATTGAAGCGACTGTCGATACGGAATTTAATAATGGCAAGGATAAGAAAGAAATTCGTATAAAAAAGCGAGATTTAATCCTCAATAAGGCAACAAAACTTATTCCACGGATGATTTTCCTCATCGAGACATACAATAAAAGTGTCAATATTTTTGATACATCCGCAAAGACAATGTTTAATAAATATTTGCATGCCGGTGAGATTCGCGATTTTCATATTAGAAATTCAATTTTAAAGGATGCACTTGAAACAACACAAACAACAGCTCGAAGTCAAAATCTCAATGATGTTGACGATGATGAAAGCACAAATGTATCAAATATAAATGATGAGGCAAGCAGTGACGAGGAAAATATTCAGCCAAAGCAAAAAGCGACCAGAAAACGACGAGCGGCTGTTGAATCAGAGATATCATCTACTTCCGAAAGTGACGAGGCTGAGGCTAGAGATGAAGTGGTATTGAGTGAGGATGAATCAGTACACGAAATTAAAAATAATAAATTGTTAACGAAGGAAAGATTTGAGAAGAATGTTCGCATTATGGCTAAAAAGACGAATGCACGTAGAGGACGTTCGAAGAAAAACTAACAGAATGTTCAAAATTGCAGCATTCCACATTCCTTTGTGAATTGTTAATCCTCTATTTTCAAGCGAACGAGAAAGTTTTTGTATTATTTTTTTTTATTCAACAAGAGAAACTTGAAATTTTTAACAAAGAATTTTAATTTTATAGTTTTTTTCCTTTCAGGTATTTCTTGAAACTTTGTAAATGAATTTAACTCATTTTTGTGCCAGAAAATTTAATAAAGAAATTTAATTTTGGCAAAAAGACCGCTAGAAAAATTTTTGAATTTGAAAGCGCTACAAATGTTTTTTTCAGACCACGAAAACCTTACACAAATCGTTTTTGTCTATAAAACCTTACAAATCGTTTTTGTCTATAAAACCTTACAAATGTTATTTTAGTCCATTAAAACTCAACAAATGTTCTTCTTGAAAACCTTCCAAATGTTATTTTAGTCATTAATTTTTTCAAAACCGTACAACAGCAATATATTTTAATTTTTTCCCAATATCTATACAATTTAAAGAAGGATTAAATACTTTATAAATTACAAATTAAATGATTTTGTGGGAAAAAGCAATTGCTCTTTAAAAGCTGACTTTCTCACTCATCCCAAAAAAAAAGAACAAATTCAAATGCATTTAATTCAAACAACAAGTATGCAGCATATAAAAAGCTGAGAAGAATAGTTTTTAAAACTAAAAGCACAGCCACAATTTAACAAAGGAAAAATAAATTAAAAAGGAATTGGAAAAAAGAGCGGAATTTTCATGAAGGAATGATAAAAAGCACTAATCAGACTTAATACACATGAGACTAATAAAAAAGAGAATTTTACAAAAATAGAAGGAAATTCCCACATACCACATGTGGCACCTAGCATGCGAAAAAAAAAGAAAAGAAAAAATAAATGATGTACACAAAATAATATCGTAAATAACTTGATCTATCAACCCACAACGTTTGGATGATAAGATAACGATAATAAGCTGATTTAGCTGATAAGGACTGATAGGAGTGAAATAATTAAGTTTTATCCACAGTGTCAGTTGTGCTTTGAAACCAATAAAACGCGCGTCTCTGAAGTTTAATTAATTATATATTATTTTAGTTATGATATTTCATAATAGCTGGATTTGAGGGAGATATAATTAATAGTGAGCCAAAAGAAAAATCATGAAAACATAACAAATAAGAATGGTTGAGAAGTCAAAGAATGGCAGTAATGTCTACGACATTATTTGTTATTACAAAGACGATAATAATGAAAATCAAGATCATGGTACTGTCCATGAAGTGATTGATAACATTGAACAAGGGAATAATAACAATAACAACGTGGAAATAGCGAAAGTCAGCAGTAAGAAAAACATAGTAGAAAGTCTAAAATGGAAGCTATTCGGTTGCTTCTTAATGAACGTCCTTTTATCATCGCCAATCTATGGATTTATCACAATCTACCTTCTACATAAGGATAAGCTTGACGGAAGCATCGCCCTCATATGGATTCCAATTATTTTCAATGCCGTCTATCTGCTGGTCACTCCGTGGCTATTCAACACACTCATTCCATCCACAACACATGCAAATTCGAATGCAATGCGCTTAACAAATCGGAACGTAATCATTGTCTTCACACTCATCATGTCGGCAGCTATCTCACTATCTGGATTTACTTTTTCTTATCTTAACGCAAATTTCTTTCTTATATGTCTTCTCTATGGTGTTATTGGAGGTACAGTAATATTTGTTACTTATTTTATTCAGTTTTCGACTGTATTTATGTGATATAAAATCAGGGCCACACACTGAACTTAATTTATTGTCGCGACGAAAAAGCAAGATTCGGAAATTTTAAGGCTGATAAGAATCGTAGCCGGAATTGTGGCAAAAAAATGCACAATCTTTTTCGCTGCTCATAGACCAAAGGGGTCGTTCATTAATGATGTCTAACCCAGAAGTGTAGACTTTATCTCGTTTTAAATGAATCGGGGGAACCAAAAAACTTATAGGTTGACGTCATTTGTGAACGACTTCTCAAGTGGATGAGTTATATCTATAAATTTCCAGGTATTTACGCACAATTTGATCATTGATGGCCTTAATTTTTCAACTTTTTATGAGAAATGTTTCACTTTGATTGCCCAAAAAAGGTCTTACGCGTGTACTTTTATGTGTTTTAGGGCTTTTTTCTGCTTTTGGGTTAATAGAGTAATTTTTTGTGATTTATTCAACTTTTATTGTGCTTTAATGAGGTGCTTTGGAATATTGGTAGATAAAGGAGACAATATTTATTGCAATAATATTAAATCATTGTCAATTGAAGATAACAAAGCTTTTGACGCACATATTTTAACGTATCGGAGCTTTTGATGTACGTAATTTAAAGAAACAGAGCTTTTGACGTACGTAATTTTACTTATCAGAGCTTTCACGTAAAAGAGCTTTTGACGTACGTTTTTAACCCAACTCAAATCAAAAATTGCGCATGAATTACAAAGTAGCAACTTAGAAGTAAATTAAATAGTCTCAATTGTCTGATGTCGCCCGCAATAAATCCAGCCTAATCTTGATAACTTTAATATTAATTTAATCTCTGTGTGGCAAATGTGATATAAATTAATTTCTAAATCCCTGATATCTGCGATAAAATCACTCAACTAATCAGCACATACATCTTCTCTCTCTCTCTCTCTTTTTAGGCATGTCGTCGTGCGTTATTTTGGGTAAAATGTTTGTGATAATCAACGGCATATTGAGAAATGAGAGACTACACTTGATAAATTTCATTTACTCATTCGGTACTGGCTTGACTCAATTTGTATTTCCATTTGTGACACATTACGTCATGTTATGGTTTTGTCACAATTGTACAATTCTTATTATTGGCGCTCTTATAACTCACATCATTCCAATTGTATTGATTCTCATTCCAAATGATGAATATGATGGAATATCCATGAAATTAGAAAGTAATAATCTGGTCGATATGAGGAAAAAATTTCCAAATGAATTGAGGAAAATTGAAGAATCTCGTTACAGCGATATTTCGTCAGCATCTTATGACTTTTATCCGGAAATGATTAAGTATCCATCAGATGTTCTCGACATGGATAACATTCAATGGAAGAATCCATCAAACTTTAATGATACAAGCAGCTCGTCCAAAAATGATAAGGATGATCATTTTCTAGAAATTCTCGATAGTAATCGTGTAATGAACTCAGATGGAGTTGAAATACTCGAAACTATAACCGAGGAAGAGAACGTTGATGAGGAAACGAAATTTCCTGGGGATATAATAATCGATGAGATGAAGCAAGACTCTAGAAATCCCATTGATTTGATTTATGAAGAAGTGAACAAGAAGCATGAAGAAAATCAACGACAAAATGAGAATTACAAATATATAGTCTTAAAGAGATTCGTATCTCATAAATATGAAAATGCATTCACTGTCTTCTATCGTCAAGTCATAAATCCGCTAAGTCGGTCTCTAAAGATTTTCCAATTCTATCCAGCCGTGATCCTTAAATCAATCGACATCTTTTCATATCTTTTATTTGTCACATTCATCCTACCAAATCAGGCAATGAGTCAGTATCAGTTTGTGGAGCGTGAAAATGTTATTTACTTAATCACATTGATGGGCCTTTGCTGGATTATTTATTCAATTGCCGTTCTTAAATTTCATAAATCCCTCAAGCAAAATTTCATTCATTATTTTCATCTCGTCGGGCTGCTCGCAAAGTTTTTTGGATATTTATGTAAGTTGCATTCATTTATTATCGTTTAATGTTGTTGCTAAAATTGGTGGCATGATTAATTCTCGTCATTTGTTGAATTCTATTTTTAAAGATTGAGGATGCTTTAATTGGCTTTGAAAAATAAGGGGGATGGGGGAGAATAACCTAGTATTAATAATCAGCAGCCGCACCAAAACTCAAATTAGATTTTAATCCCGAAATTTAATGAAATAAAAAAATAAATCAAGAATTCATTCAATCAAATTAAATGAACCTCGAGCAATGACCCCCCATCCACCATCTATGTTATGTCCTTTAATAATTCTATTCACAAAAGACTTTCTTTATCCTCTCTTTTCAGTCACAAATCAACGATATTCATTTAATGGATTTATTTTCGGCATCATACTCATCTCAATGGGACATGCCAATTCATTTCATCTACAAGAGACCGTCATAAGGAATTGCTTTCATCCAAGAAAATGGTATTATATTCGTGGGCCCATTTACAGTTTCAGCGGATTCCTAATCCTCGTTTATTGCATAATATTTCACATCCTTCATGCTTATCTTAGTTTTGTGACATTCACAAATATTTTTGTATTATTTAATTTATGTGCCATTTTAATTTGGCTTCTTACCAACTATGAAATGGTTGTTTATGTCTGTAGTAAATATTAGACTGAAAAAAAGTATGTAAAAAAATTGTTTTAATATTTACAATTTACTACATTTAAATTGTTCTTTGGTTGGATCAATAGCTGGAAAATTGATATAGCTTGATTGAGTGCCTTTGTTCTGTACACTAGATGTTGCAATTACTATAGATGCAGCAACTTTCTGCACTAATGAAGCATCTGGGAATTTAGAGAAGAAAAATGCGAGTGCACCGATAAATGCATCTCCGGCTCCTGTAATCAATAAAAGGAAATCGCATTAAATTAAGTCGTGGTTTTCTTGAAATGAGCGTTTTGGAATGGAACGATCAGGATGAATCAATTATATGTAAAAAAATTAAATTTCTCATCAAAACCTTACAATCGAACAAACATTTAAAAGGTTTTGGCTCAATTTGTGCAATATTTTGGATTTGTAATGTTTTGAATCACTTCAAATTAATTTGTATTGTGAAAAGTTCTTTGCCCCTTGGACTAAGCACAACAAAAATCTAACAAAATTAAAAATTTGAGTATAAATAACAATAATAAGGCAGAACAAATCTACACAAAGTACTAAAGAATACATTAATTACGCAAATTGAATAAAATTATAGTGATTACATTCATAAATAATCGAAAAAGCAGGAAAAACAAAAAATTTGTGACGAAAAAGTGACAAGTCCCGGCTTTGCCGGATCTCTTACAATGGTTCAGACAAAAAACAATAAAAGCACAGCAAAACTGCCAGCAAATCAGCTCCAGAAATTACAGGACAAGTTAATAGCTGATAAAAAGGAACAACTTTTCCCAAGTCAATCACAGCAAATAAATATCAACAATCATTCAAACATCAGGTATGACTCAACAATAAAATTAACAAATAACACAGAAGGAGAAAAATATTTGATTATGCACAGAGACCACGATAACAAAACAATGAAGGATTTTTCTCCAATATTATTGGAGAAAGCTATACACAATGCAACACAAAATGGAAAGTTGGATTGTAAAGTCCTAAAAAGTGGAGATTTATTGATAAAAACAGAAAACTTGAGACAAGCACAAAACCTAATACGAATAACAGGCATCCTAGACGCAAAAATACAGGTTACAGAACACAAAACGATGAATAGTTGTAAGGGCGTGATTCGTGCATACGAATTACAAAACGAAGACGAACAAACGCTATCAGATTATTTAAAATCACAACATGTAATAGACGTAAGAATGCACAAAAAGACAATCAACGGTAAAACAATCAACACTGGTTTAGTCTTTGTCACCTTTGGAGTGAGCAATTTGCCGGAATATCTGACGGTCGGACTGTTGCGAGTGCGCGTCAGGCCTTATATTCCCACTCCGATGAGATGCTTTGCTTGCCATAAGTTTGGACATCTTTCAAAATATTGTAACATAAAAGAATCTCCAACATGCTACAACTGCAACAGCAACAAACATATCCAAAACAGAGATGAAAAATGCACAAAGGAAGCTTTTTGTGTAAACTGCAAAGAAACTGGTCATAATAGCTACAACAGAAATTGTACAGAGTACAAACGACAAGTAGACATCCAGACTATCAGAGTAACACAAAATGTTTCGATGGCCGAAGCAGTTAAACGGTCCAATCTTAACAGAATAACGTACGCAAAAATTACATCAACACAAATCGAAACAATCTGCAGTTGCAAGCACTGCAATTACCACAACAACAAAACAACTCCACAAATAAATAACATAAAGCAAACACCACCAGTAAATAACATTAAAGAAACACCACAATTAATTAACAAAAATAAACGATTAAGACAAATCAACTATAATCCTCAAGAACAATCAACTGATGAAGAGACACACAAAAAATCCCGAATCAACAACACAGATGCTAAAAGCGGAGACGAAGATGAAGACGAAGAAATGATAACATAATGAATAACACAACATCAATTTTAAATTGGAACATTAGAGGCTTTTTTACAAATAAATCCGAACTGCAAGTACTTATTAATGAATTTCAACCACTTTACATTACTTTACAAGAAACTAAATTAAATATTGACACACAATTAAATAATTACAAAACATATATTAAAAATAAGACATGTACACAGGACAATTATGCTTGTGGAGGTGTTATGACACTAGTTAATTTAAATATACAATCCTCTCTTTTTCACATTAACACAAATTTACAAGCTATAGCCGTTCACGTAACATATCCATTCGATTTTGTTATTTGTAACATTTACATAGACCATAATATACCTACACAAACATTAAAAGACGAACTTGAAAATCTAATTACACAATTAGGACATTCATATATATTGACAGGTGACTTTAATGCGCATAACGTATTATGGGGTTCACATAAAACAGACAGAAGAGGAACTATAATTACAGAATTAGCAGAACTACACTCATTGACAATACTAAACGAAAAACTCCCTACACATATTGCCACTAACGGTAGACTAACATCCATTGACTTAACAATATGCACACAAAATTTAGCTACTTTCACAGATTGGACAGTACTTGACGATCTACATGGAAGTGACCATTTTCCGCTTCTGATTTCCTTCCCATTCACACAATACGAAAAGACACAAAGACAAATATTCAACATCAAAAAAGCTGATTGGAACGAATTCAAAAAGAACCTTAACTTCGACAACATCGATACATCAAATATAAATAACATGGAAAGAGACTATACACAAAGAATAATAAACGCAGCAAATAAGTCAATCCCATATATAAAAACATTTAAAGGCAAAAGAAAATTGCCTTTCTGGAATGACGACATCAAACAAAAAATAATTGAACGAAAAAAGAATACAAGAATATATAAGAACACTTTAAATCCAGAAATACGCAATAAAATTACAGAGCTAACAATAGAAATACGCCAAATGATAAATAACGCTAAAACAGAAAGCTGGAGACAGTACACATCTACACTAAATCACAAAGCTAACACAAAAGAAATCTACGACAAAGTGCGAACATTAAGCGGAAAAAGTAAGAATACAGAAATAAGAAAAATTAACAAACAAGACGGTACATACACAACAAATCAAATAGAAATAGCAAACACTATTAAAGATACGTTCGAGTACATCTATAGCGATGAAAACTTAAACACTAATCTCAAAAATCTTAAAGAACAATCAACCACAAATGAAACAATTACTGAAGACACAACAAACGAAGCATATAACGATAACATAACAATGAAGGAATTAGAAGAAGTAATAGCACAAACAAAAGGATCATCACCTGGACCTGACAAAGTGCATTACGATATGATCAGAAACCTAACGCAAAAAGGGAAACAAATGTTATTACAGCTATACAATAAGATACTAAATGAAGGACTACCACAAACATGGAAACACTCAATAATTATCCCAATCAAAAAACCCGGCAAAGACCCACGACAAGCAACAAGCTACAGACCTATAGCTCTTACAAGCTGCACGTGCAAATTGATGGAAAAAATAATAAATAAACGTATACAATGGACATTAGAAAACAAAAATCTTTTAAACAACTTTCAATCAGGATTTTTAAAAGGAAAAGGTACAATAGACAACATTACATACTTAGTTGACAGCATACAGAAAGGTTTTGCATCTCAAGAACAAACAACAGCAGTTTTTATCGATTTAAAAAACGCGTATGACAGAGTCTGGACGCACAAAGTCAAAGAACATATGGAAAGACTTGGATTTAAAGGAAAAATAGTTAATTACATCAACAGCTTCTTGCAAAACAGAACATTCAACATTCAAATAGGAAACATAGAATCAGACACAGGATATATGGACAACGGAATTCCACAAGGCTCAGTACTATCATGCACACTATTCAACATAGTGTTCGACGATGTACTCAACAACATAGATCAACATACAAAGTTTTGTGCATATGCTGACGATTTGGTCCTTTTCCGCAATGGAAAGGACACTAAATCCACCGAAGCAAACTTACAAAAAACACTTAATGAAACAAGTACACAGATGAACAAAAATGGTCTTGAGATTTCAATAGACAAAACAAAAATCATGCACTTCACAAAACAACTGAAGAAAAATGTTAAAATACCACACATAAAATTGAACAATCAAAACATTGAACACGTCGACAACTATAAATTTCTTGGAGTTATTTTTAATAATAAACTCAAGTGGACGGAACAGATCAATCAATTACATAGCAAAACAACAAAAAACATCAACTTAATAAAAATGCTATCACACACTAAATATGGAGGAGAGAGACAAACTCTGCTACGAATACACGAAGCAGTCACAACATCGATACATAACTATTCAGCACTTATTTTTACAAAACTCACAAAAAAGGATGAACGGAAACTTAACACAATACACACAAGAAGTACAAAATACGCAATTGGTGCTTTTGTCACATCACCAAATGCAAGTGTCCACATAGAATCAGGAATCACCCCACTAAAACATCAACGAAAAATACACCTAATAAAATACGCATGCAAAGTCAAAAACAACAGCAAAAACATTCTAAACCCTAGTCTACAAGACGATTCCAAAGACCACAAATACAAAAAATTGACAAATCCACCAATAACGTACATCATGAGACAAGAACTACAAAAAATGAACATCAACAAAGACACAAAATTCTGTAAACCACAATCTTCATTTCATCCTTTCTGGAGAAAATCTAAATTCAAAATCAATTTGAAAATGACACAATTCAACAAAGACAACACATCACACGAAGTAATCAAAAGAACATTCAACGAAATACTAGACACATACACAAGAAAAGGGTACGAAATAATCTACACAGACGGATCTAAAACAGAAGAAGGATACGGAGCAGCAGTGGTAACAAGAGACAATACATACAAATATAAATGTCACGATTACTCGACAGTGTACACAACAGAGCTATTCGCGCTATCAAAAGCATTAAAACATAGATTAACCAATAAAACACTCATATGCACTGATTCGCTCAGTGTAGTCCAGGCATTAAGAAGCTCACATACAAAAAACACAATGCTACAGCAAATCCAAGATAAATTACGAGACAATACTACAGAAACAACAATAATGTGGATACCAAGCCATACTGGAATAAAAGGAAACGAAGAAGCAGACAAACATGCAAAAGAAGCCACAAAACAACAACTTTACACAAACTATAAAATATTGATTGAAGACGTTACAAAACATGTAAAAGAGCATGTCACAAAACTTTGGCAAGAAGAATGGAATGAGGAAATCAGAAACGGAAATAAATTAGGAAACATTAAAAAAACATGTAAGAAATGGACAAATATTGACACATATAAAAGAAAAGACCAGACAGTACTGACAAGACTTAGAATTGGACACACAAATCTAACACATATACATCTTATTGAAAAAACTTCTCCCCCAATATGCACATGCACCATCCCACTTACAGTCAGACATATATTTGAATGCACAAACAACCAATCAGCTATTTCAAAATTTAATATCAGTTACAAAACACTTGAAGTAGACGAAAAAGATGAAACAGACAAAATTTTAAACTTTCTAAAAGAAATTAATATTTACGACAAAATCTAACACCAAAACACATAATATCCTGTACTGCAGTTCGTATTTATAAATTTAAAATAATGTAAAACATATTTGGAATTGAAAATGGTCTTAAAATTTATTAAAAAGGACCTTAATAAAGATAATTAAGAAGAAGAATAATTTGTATTGTTCTGAGAGTAAGATTTGAATTTGTATGGTTCTCAATTTTAAATAGATAATTTGTAAGGATTCAAAACACTACAGGAATTTTCAAATGTCCAAAATAATCAGAAATGCAGTACAAATCATTGTTTTCAGACACAACAACTAGATACCAGACATCATCATGTAATAATGTCCAAACATTATATAAACTAATTGTCCCAAATCACAAATAATCATTCAATGGACATAATACACACCTGTTGAGTCAACAACTTGAACTTCTTTCTGAATTGGGACGTGATAAATTTCATCATTGTCATTGAAAGCCGCACCATTTTTTCCAAGCGTTACAATAACAGTTTTACAACCTTTCTCATGAATTAATGATTGAATGATTTTCTTGACATCTGAAATCTCGATGAATTTAACATTTGTAAATTCTTCTGCTTCCAGTTCATTCACACAAAAAATGCTTGGCAATCTAAAGGCAATTTCCGGTAGATTTGATACAGCTGGTGCCGCATTTAGAATTGAAAGTCCTTGAAATGATTTCATTGCCTCAATTGTTGCTTCTATCGGCGTTTCTAATTGACAGATAAGAATCTAAGAAGATGATAGTAAAGAGAACTTGTTATGTTCTAGACGATGCTTTTCATTAATTTTTAATGCATGTTATATCTTGAAATGTATGTAGAGGATTTATTTTAAATCAGATTATAAATCCTTGGATTTAAATAAATCCGGTGATTAAATTTTCAAAACTCATAAAACCGTTAAAGTTTTAAATCTCAAATTAATGGAAAGTTTTGGAAATAGATTGAAACCCCCAAAAATCAGGATAATCCTCAAATACCTAAACGCAATCAATAAATCCACAAATTACCTTCGACTGATCAAAAACACTTCTCGCCTTCACACAATCCTCGACACTCAAAAACTTATTAGCATTGCCATTGATGACAATTTGATTATCTCCATCGGCAGAATTAACCACAATCAATGCAATGCCTGAATATTCACCAGCTGTTTCCAAATACTCTGTATTGATGCCTTCCTCCTCAAAATGTCTTTTATAATTCTTTCCATATCCATCGTTTCCAATTTTTCCAATCATCGCGGTTTTACATCCTAAACGTGCACTTGCTATAGCTTGATTGCTGCCTTTACCACCGTAACCAACTTCGAAGCTTTCTGAGTGAATTGTTTCACCAAATTTTGGCATTCGATTCACGTAGCTGTCCATTGTTGATTTAGATAATATTAAATCCCATTAAATTGATGATTTAAATGTATATAGACTAACCTTATGAAGTCGATCATGCAGGATCCAAAAACCACAACGTCATACATTGCTTTATACTAAATTGAACTGGATATGTGGTACGCGATGGCAGAAATATCACTATTATCGCATTAAGCAAGTAAGAGATAATAAATATTTTTTTTCAAGTATTTTTGTTTACCTCGTCGTACTGTATGTGTAAAGTTTGGTCGCTTGGATATTGTTATATGACTGAAAATTTCATATTTTTGAATATAAGTCCTTAATTTGGTATCGTTTGACTTGATTTATATATTGCTTGGGATATTAAATGGGAAGTTGCTGTAAGGCAATTACGTAAAATTTCCCTTTTGATCATTCAAATGGAAATGCTGGAACTGTACAACTCATAATGTGAGTGGAAAAAGTAATAAACTAACCGACCTGTAAGTAATTAATTTGCAGTTTCAACGATCAATGACATTGTACTCAAAGCATCAAATTAAATATCCGTAACATATTAATAAGTATTTGCTCCTCTACACATTCGTTCATTGTATCTACATAATTAATTTTTTTGTTCGCTATAAAAGCCAGGAAAAACTTTTTCGATTTCCTTCGAGACAGATTCAGGTGAATCAGATCCATGGCAGGCATTTCGTGTATCTGTTAAACCATATAAGCCTCTTATACTGCTTGGATGACTGTAAATGCATTTGAATATTTTTGTGGGACCTAGCAGCTCTCTCCATTTCGTTATAGCATTTTCACGTTCTAATATTAAAACCTCAGCCTCACCACTGTTGCAAATATGGAAAATTCGATTAGTTTTGTGCCTTAATAACACTCTATAGATGAATTATTAAGCATGAATTGAAATTCTCAAATTTTCATATTTATCTATGCTTAATATGCTTATATGAAGGACGTACCTCGTCATAAACGTAACTAGTCTGTTGAAATAAAACCGTCCATGATGTTCCTCATAAAACTTTTCTGCTGATTTCCTATTGAACTTAATCCTAGATTTTCGTATAATATTGAAGTTGTTATCTTTGATAATCTGCATTATATGACTCAATGCAACTGGATTCTTAACTGCGTGCGGTTTTATCATTGCAAACGTAATCATTTTATGATGAATTAATTAATTTAAAAGGAACTGAAATATTTTCTTTGAGATCAAAACAATAACAAAGAGAATGAGAGGGATCTGTTATTTTGAAAAAGTTCACTTTGATTAATTTTGAGTTTTAAAAAGAAAATGAAGCTAAGATAGAGTTCAACGTAATATGAGGTAAGTATGTCATATTTGCAGGATTTATAATCTACAATTATTCATTTATTTTCTACGTATTAATAGAATTTTGATCAAAGTCACTATTTCACAATCAAGAGATCCCGTGAAACCAAAAACAATCCGTGTCATTCAAGTGATATTAAATTCTTAAATACTCATCTTTTATTGCATGATTCAATACCGGATCTAGTCCAATAGATAAAACGAATGCAGTAAAACTTAATTAAAGTAGAATGAGACCAGCAAGCAACGTAATAATACAACTTTTTATGTTTGACGATTTTAACCTCAATCAATTTTTCACCGAAACATTTTTCAAAAAAGTAAATACAACTGGAATAAGTTAAATTAGTTAAATTAAATGGGAAATTGACGATTAAAAGTAGTGAAAAATATCTTATAAACACGTAGAATAATTAAACTTAAACCTAATTAATTGTATATAATCGTAGTTACTATAATCAAGTCAAGATATGGATCTGAACAGTAAGTTAAAGAATTTAATTGCACAAAATGACGAAAATTTCACAATGAATTTTTATTTATTCCACAGAACTAATAAAAAGGAAAGAAAAGGCCCTAGACGATGATAATAAGCAATCCATAGCAGAGCTGTGTAATAAAATTGGCACATACTATTACAATCTGAATAAATTAGAAAAGGCACTGACAGAATTTAAACAAGAAGCGAGAATGTATGAGCAGTTAAATATGCGAATGGATTATGGAAAAGCAAATAGAATGATAACTGAGGTTTATTTGCTTCAGGGTAAATTTACGGATGCATTCAAGCATGAGGACATATACATGAAGACAGCAAAACAAGAGAATGACATGGTTGAACTACAGCGAGCTTATGCAACTCTCGGACGAATATATTTGCTTAAAGGACAGGAACGTGATAATGAACTGTCTGAACAAACAACTGAGGATTGTGGCATTAATTTCAAATCCGCAGAAAAGGCATTCCTGAAAAGCTTAATTATTACGAAAGAGTAAGTTGATGAAATGTTGTGGATTTGCTTAATTTTGGGTCTCGCATTTCACAATAGCGTTAATTTTGCGTGACTATTAAGTTAGTATGACTGTTGCTTTATTCACAAAAGTGAAAGCAAACGTATTTTTTGAAATTCAAAAATGATGAACTGTACAAATGTTATTAGAGCTATACAAATTATTTTAAAAATTTGTACAGTTTTAGAGTTTAAATTATTTTTTACCGCTAAATTGAGAATTTCTTTATTAAAGACATAAAGACTGATTAAGTTTGTTGACCAGATTACATGATTGTATGCACGTGTTCAACATAAAATTTGTGCAAGCATTGCGTTACTTAAGATTACTAGTTGTTATCGATGCAAAGACTTACAAAAGAAGTCAATATACACTTTATTGCATAATAATCCCCTCTGAAACATTTTATCCAATCTATCTAATCTCCTTATTTACTTTCTACAGAGTATCAAAAGACGTATCAAAGTTTAAATTGGCAGATATGCAATCACGTATTTACCTCAATCTCGGTATAACAAAAGAAGAAATGAAGTCCTTTGATGCGGCAATTGATTATTACAAAACAGCACTAAGGATATGTAAAGCAAATGATTTGTATGAGTTAGAGCACAAAAGCTTAATGAATATTGGTCTTTGTTATATAACAAGATTTAACGATTCATCTAGTGCCCTACAGTATTACAATAAAGCATTGGAAGTTGCAAAAAGAGTGGACGGTAAAAATGACAAAATATGTGAAACACTTCTGGCTAAAAGTGATTTATTGATTAAGAATGGTGATTTTCAAAGTGCCAAAAAGGTCCTCAAAAAAGCTTACAAATTAAGGACAAGTATTGAAACGGATATGGAACAAATTCAAAAGAATTTCCGGATCGTTCATGCATTATGTAAATTTGAGGACGATTTAATTACGACAGATTCATTTGACTATGAGAAGAGAAAGAAGCTTTTTGAGAAATTGGGTGACGGATCATGCAAGCTTAAAAATTTTACAAAGGCTATCGACTTTTATCAGAAACAGCTTGAAGCGTCCGAATTAAATGGCGAAACAGGAAGGTCATTAATTCCAATTTATGTGAGCTTATATCAGACGTATATTGATATGGGCGAGTACGAGAATGCGATGAAATTTTTACGTTTAGAATATGAACTAATAAAGGATGAACCAAAGGAAGCATGCACGACGCTCATGAGCATAGCAAATTTATTACATTTAGCCAAGAAGGAGTTTTGGGATGTTGATGCAGCATATCGTAAGGCACTATCTGAAGCTAGAAAGGCAGAAGATGCTGTTGTTGAAAAATCTTTAATAAAGAAAATTATAGCTGTATGTAAGGAAAATAAAATGACGAGCTTAGCTGAAATATTAGAACAAGAAGCATCTGATAAAGGAATTAATTTAAATGATGACACTGAGGAAGTTGATATGAGTGAAGACCTGCTTGATAGCTGTGATATAAATGTTCTAGACTTTGAGCTTTCAACAGATCCTGAATCGTCGTCCGACAATGAGAGAAATACATCAGTCACTCAAAAAGTTCCTGTAAGAAAGAAACGATCAATAGCTGTTAAGAAGAATGCAAAAGGTGAGACGAAATTACACGAAGCGTGCATTAATGGAAATTATCAACTTGCTAAAATGCTCCTGGATCAAGGACATCCAGTCAATGTTAGGTATGATTTATAATAATAGTTTACACAGCTCTGTAAATCGTAAATTATCCGCTACAGGGATGTATTGCTTGACATATTTAAATTCAAATTTTTTTCAAGTATTTTTTTCTTAAAATAGTAATTTAATTTAATTGTTGAATATTCTGCAAACAATTCATAGTCATAATATCCTTCGGATACAGTAGCTTTTATAATCTAATCAATTTTGCAGCGTTCGACCGTGCTGTTATTCCAAGAATCATTCATTTCGTTAATTTTTTGTAGACAATATGAATTTTTCGCCCAACTAGCTTCGACGAATTAATTTAATTCAATTATCCTTCTTATTATTATAACAGAGATAATGCCGGTTGGATGTGCATTCACGAGGCATCAAATCACGGTCATCGAGATATCGTTGAACTGCTTTTAGACAATGGAGCACAATCAGCAATTAATGACAAAGGAGGCGTGACATGTGAAGGCATTACACCATTATATGATGCAGCATCAAACGGACATTTAAGTGTCGTCCAATTGCTACTAGACCGAGGTGCAAAAGCCACAATTAAAACGGATGCAAATCAAACAGTTCTTGATGCACTTCTATTTTGGCATGATAGCATTAAAGGAAGCCTTACAGCCACAGAAAAGGAATTTTATGACGAGATTAAAGAGCGTTTAGTGCAACAATGTGAAAAAGTTGGCATAGATACAAATAAAAAGCATTCTATTGCATCAAGTGGATATTCATCGATAAAGTCTCAATCATCACAACGACATAATACGAGATACAATACGAATTTAAGTGATGACGAACGAGAGAATGAGGAAAATGATTATTTTGACAATAAAAAAAATTCGAGTCGAGACAATAACGTTGTTGATGATGATAATATCAAGAAGACTGCAAGACATGAATACAAAAGTGTTATGGCAAAATTAAAAAATCCGCATAAAGAAAGTAAATTTGATGTCGATAATGTTCAAGACACGAGAAAACGGTCAGCATATTTGAATGAAGCGGAAATTGCTGTAGATGATTGGCTTGATGATGATTTAGGGCCAATGAAGAAGAAGCAGAAAAAGTTTTTTAACGAAAATGTCTTGCTGGATGAGAAAAGTCCAATAAAAACAATCCAGACTCAAAATTTTACAAGAAAATCGTCAATGAATTTAATCGCATCTGATTCAGACGATGGATGTGAAAACTTATCGGATTTAGGATCAAACTCAGTCGATGCATTTGATGTAATGATGAGTACGAACGGTGAGGGAAGTAAGAAGAAATCCAGACGAAATTCTAATGCCAAACTACAAAGGAAAAGTTCTAATCAGTCATCGTTGCTCGATGCTGGATTTTCAAAATTTATTGATTTTGATGAGTCGTCAAGAAAGTCATATCCATCACCCGTAAAAGCGTCATCCACATCATTGAACAATTTTACCTTAAATGAGAGCTTTAATCGTTGCAATCAATTGGAAAAGCAAACAATCATAAAAGTTCAGATTGATGCTGAAAAAATTATCGTACCGATCAATAGAGATGCTGCGAATGAGCTCAAAATTAGTTGGTTGATTGAAGAATCAGCAAGACGATATTACTGGTGAGAAAGTTGATTACATTTTATGTTGTGAAACTCTTGAGGTTTACGATGAAATGTCAAAAGTCGTTAAGCGATAACGACTATTGATTTTTCTTCTCAACACTTCATAGTCTTCTACTTCGACAAATTTATGCTCAAAAGTCGTGTGCTTATTTAAAAATTTTAATCACCAGAATTATCCCTTTATTAAAATAATTACCATTATATTTACATAAATTTTTCTTTCTATTATCTTCTCTTCTGCATGCCAAACACAGTCTTAAAGGGATTCGACCAGAACTGAAGCTAAAAACTGCCGATGGTGCGACATTAATAGATGCAGATCCACTTAGTTTAATCCTTTGCTTGACAGAAGAAAATTTAATATTTTCCGAGATTTTAGATTGGAAACTTCCGACGCTCTCCAATAGATATCTAGAGGCATGTTCGGAATATAAATGTGGTATGTAGTATCAATAACATCTTATAAATTGTGGAATGTTGTTATATACGGAATTTTCGAGTTATATGATAGGTTTGTGTTTGATTTGGCTAGCAGACAAAACGACACATGAAGCATAGAAGTACTTAGAACTATTTACCGGATTTTTGAGATTTGAATTTTTATCTTCTCATTTGAAACGACTTTTTTCACCCCCCTCCCCCCCTTGTTACAATATGTTACAACTCGCACCCCCCCCCCCCCCCTCCTGAACGTTCATAATTTATTTTATCATTAAAAAGGTGAAAAATTTAAAAATATGTTTTTGGTATGAATATGTAAACAAATTTTTTTCGTGAACTTCTTTTTAAGACAGACGACAGTTAGAACGTTTCATACTTCTTGACTCCCCCCCCCTATGTTATATTTTGTTACAATTTTTCAAACCCCCCTAAAATGCGAACGTAATAAGTGAACGGCCTCAATATCTATGCTTTTTTTATTGAACATATTTTTCCAGTTGTTGATCGTGACATGAGCGAGCTCCTTGATTTGAATCGAACATCAGTAAATATTGACCTATCGAATCAAAACCTTCGTCCGATAAATGCCCGTCCGATACTTAAAGCTCTCCATCATCAACATTGCCTGAATCATATCGATATATCAAGTAATTTTATTCAAGACGAGGGACTAAAGTATCTAACACAAGCACTAGTAACGATGAAAAATTTATCATGCCTGGATTTAAGCGGTAATGGAATAACAGAAAGTGGAATTGAATATTTCTGCAATACGATGGATAAAAGTGTGACACCTACGGATATAAAGTATCTGAAATTAAACTTCAATCCAATCAAATCGACATCATTAAAATATCTTAGTGAATTATGTCGCAAAAAATTCATCACCTCAATGTCTCTCATGGCATGTAAACTCGTCGATTTTGATAATAATGAAATTGAAACATTCAGCAGTGTAAAAGAGTTGAACATCAGCTACAATCACTTCACGTTCAATGGCTTGAAAAATATTTTTAGAAAATTAAATTCGACATTGATGGAGTCAATAAATTTGGATCGATGCTCGAGTGAATTGAATATCGGCGATATCATCGTGAACTTTATCACGTCGGGTTGTTACAGCACTTTAAAGGAAATACATTTATCAGGACTGAAGTTGAAGGAGAATGAGATACTTGACATTTTGAGATGTCTGCAGTCGTGTGGAAATTTGAGAGTGTTGGATCTGTCATATCTGAATGACTTGACAGTTTTGACTATGAAATTTGTACTTTATAATATGGGTAATAATAATTTAAGAGTGAATCTAGTTGGATGTCACAATATTTATAAAACATTTGATATTAAATATAATCATGATCAGTCGATGTCATCTTACCCATGTCATTTACAGCTGTCGTTACCAAAAGTGACGACTAATGTACGAAATGAATTTATAACAAAAATAAGAGATTTGTGGATGAATGTTACGGAAAGTCGTGGAACGATTCATCAAGATAAAAATATTTTACACTTACTCGGCGACAATCGGAGTGCTTATGAGTTTTTATGATGTTAAACTTTGCCTTTTTTATAGTTTTTATATTTATGTGATTAAGGACTTAATGGTAGTAATAAAAATATTAAGTAAGCGACAACTTTTTCAATATAAATGCTTTTTTTATATGCTGCTCATATATAAGCTTTTGGTCTTTCCTGCAAAATGTTATTTTAATAAAATTTAATTAAATCGAAAAATTAATTCTATAAGTGCAGCTGACAAATTCAATACAGTGCAAAAGAACAATTGTTTGAATATCCATAAAACTACTAAAGCTCACAATCCACTGAAACAAAAAACCTTTGATGACAATAAAATTTAAATAAATGTATGGAATAAAATCAGACCTTCTCAAGCTATTATCCACTACTGTGTCGCTAAAAGCTTAACATCCTTAAAAACAAGATTTGACAAATGTCGGACGTCATTTATGAACGGTTTTGGTTTACTGTGTTGCGATCCCAAAAGTTTGAGAACCACTGTTATGGATGGTTGTATTTTATTATCCCTTTAGCACTAATGGCATGAAAAACTTCAATATATTGCAAACATATGACAATTTTATTTTTGGGTCAAAGAGAATCTCATTGCAAAACTTTTGAATAAAAATTGAGAAAAGGATGAAGTGAAAGTGGTTCTTTCATAAATTACGTCAATCAAGATGCAAATTCAAATTCAAAGTCCAAGGGAGATGAGAAAGCGAGTTTGGGGAAGTTCACTAAAATGGCACCCTCGCCTTTTGTGCCTTTAGCTCTGTCCCTTTACACCTTTTTCAATAATAGACGTCATAAGTGAACTGTAACCCAAAAAAAAAACAAAAATAAAGGCAAAAAGATAATAAAACTTTTTCTACTATTCATCCACATCCACCAGAGACAACTTTTGATTCTGCTTGAAATTCAATATAACTTTAACATAATATGTGGTTCTTCATTGAATAAATACATATCTAAACCCACAGCTCAGAAAAGCTTATGAAATTTCATGAAAATTAAATTACCGTAATGTGATGATGCGTAAAAAAATAATCTTCATGCTCCCATGAGACTCGACTTGTCGACTCAATGATGATGGAAATTAATCTCTTTTATTATTTTCATATTTCAATAATTTAAACCTCCTATTTAACATAAATCAAGAGATTTTAGGTGATTAATCACAATTATAATACGCTTGAGATCGATTTTTTGAGGAAATTGGGCAATTTATATCCCATAAGAATTCATGCCATAAAATCTAAATTATATTGAGGTGATTTTATTGCAGTTTTATTGATTTTCAACGTCATATTCCGTGGGCGCAAAAAGAAGATGTGCATTATGTTCCGTATTTATTGTTATGATCATTATTATTCGTATTTTCACTAACGATGTACAATAAAATAAAGATGTTGACATTATATCAGATTTCATATTACGTTCTTGGTCCTTAACTTATGAAGAAAATCAAATGTAGCAAACCATGTCGTCCTCAAGAGATGTCGGAAAAATCTGACGTGAAACTTTATATTCTGTCGTTTTTAATACAGTAAATTGAATACATTTTTAGTGTTGTTGCTTTCATAAAACGTTGTGGCATGCTTATAACTTTTGAAAAAAAAAATCTTCCATAATCTTTATGAGATTTTTTGCAAGGTACTGGCACTCTTTGAATGTCGCAGGAGTCAATTTTGATTTTCTTTGAACATTAAAATTGAGTTTAAGATATTTTAGGTTGTTCCTTTCTTTTGGATCAGTGTTCCTCAAACTTTTTTGGTTGATGGCTCATTAGACGACATTTTGATAATATAGCAATACAATTGATTCCCAAAAGGTAGTTTAGAGGCTGGTTTGAACTCAATTTTAAATGTAACTGTAGCTGGGGGTTTGGTTTATAGGGATTCCCAGACTAATCTACTCTTAGTCTGAACATGATAAGATTATCTGAATTTATAACCTCACTTTATTTTGTTTCAACTTAAATTCAAATCTACCCAAGTTTCAAGGTTGTGAAAGAGTGTCTACACCATGACTCACTCTGAAACAGTTGTTTCCAATTAATTTCTCACGACTAGGATAATTTGTTTTAATAACCAATCGTTTGATAACTTTAAATTTTTATGTCAGGCTTTCAACAATTAAAAGTAATAGGAAAGACATTATTAAGTCATATTTTGTTAATTATGATCAAAAGCGTTTAGTAAATTTCCCTTTTCCTTCCTTTCTGCTGTCGACCCTTAATTTATAAAGTGGTAATTTTTCTTGCCAACCCTCATAGAAATACAATTAACAAGACTAAGAATTAAGAGCAAGATTTAATCTTTTACTGAGGAAAAGGGTCCCTCGTGTTTGCCGTACTTCATCAAAAAAAATTCAACTTTATGTGTTTTCTATTACGGATCTTGAAAATTTCTATTTTGAAAGTTTTCGTTCCATTAAAATTTATTATGTATATCCAAAGAAGCGAATTCTAAATAAATAATAGACCGTGTCAGCAGATTTTTGCAACATTAGTAAACAACTATTAGCATTTGTGAGGCCAAATAGTACGGAATGGAGAATTTCACGCATAATAAAGGAATGAATTATGATAGTTTCAAGTAAGAAGTTATTGAATCTTCTGGTTTGTGATGTTAATTGAGTCAAAAATCTATTTATGGAAATAAAATAAGTTTAACGGCTTTTTGAATTTCAAATTCTAGTCAGTTTTAAAATACCAGCATTTTTCTCACTTCAAATCTAAAAATTCGAACCTTACAAGTTGTTTGCCTTATTCACAAAATATTTTATTCAAATTCCCTGCAAAAAGATGGCAAGAATGTAATCCATCAAACAAACTAACCTGCCATCCTTTAATTTTAGCTCAGTTCTCATATTCATCATATAACCTCTAATAGTCGGAAGGATAAACAAACCTCATTTGTCAAAATTACATCATAAATTGCTTTCGCCCAAACTCTTCCTGCCTTCATCGTCTGACATATCTGTGTCTATTGTTCTTCATCTTATTTTGCAACTTATTCTCTTTTCCTCCTGCATTTAACAATGAAAAGGGACTGAAAAATTTATGTTCTGTCATATGATTACATTTCTTTCTTCTCTTCTACTTGCTTACTGACCACCCACAGGAAATAACAATGAAGAAAATTTTTGGTTGTCTGAATTATTTAGGTCGGCCTTTTTGAGATATTTTAAATCATGAAAAAAAAAGTTTGCTTTCTTACGCGTTCTTTAAATTGTTTGCACAAATGGCTCCTTAATTGTTATTACTAAGGGAGAATTTAGGTTAGGCGGCAAGATTAGCTGTAAATTTTTTGAAGGGTTTATTGTTGCCTGGCAATTTTTGGGTTTCGCTGATGCTGATGAAGATTCAGGAGTGTAGTAAGGAGGGATGAATGTGCTATTTGATGACTGGCTTAGTGTTGTGCTGTTAAGAGCTTTAATAAATTATGGTAAACTCAGCCTTAAAATATTGAGGATATTGATTTCGACGGACAAAAAAGTTTTGGTATGCAGCTGCAAAATTTAAATTTTCAGTTTAGCTCGAAAGTTATTCTTGAATCAAACCTTAGCTCATCGTGTATCATGAAAATGTGCCAGAGGCGTAGCCAAAGGAAAAAGGAGGCATGACTCTAAATAAAAATTCCTGGCTGCACCCATGCAATAACTGCCATTTCACTTATTTTTCAATTATTTGCTAGATTCTTCTTTAAAAAACGAGAAAAAAATGTTGAAAATTTTAAGACCAACATTCTTGTTGCTGTTGTATAATCTTGATTGAATTTTTATTTGGACTTTTTTGTCCAATATTGTCGGAGCCGCATACGAATTTATAACTTACTTCCTCTTTTTTCATGTCGTGTAAAAAATGAATAAAATAAAAATGACTTTGATGAAATTCTTCCTTATATTGCTTGCTTTATTCCATCCTGCTTGCATTTTGTGGTAGAAACCTCTTATCTTATGGCACTCTTCAGTTCCTTTCATCATGACTGCACCATCCAAAATCTAAGATGTAAGATTTTATAAAAAGGATAAAAAATAGGAAAAAAATAATTGAAAAAAAGAGGAAATTGAGAAAAAGTCTTGATGTGAAAACTAACTGGATCTTCTTATAAGCCACAATTTTGTGGATACAAGTGCTTCTCAATTTCTTGACTTTAAAATCTCTTTAATACATCTAAATGTCTTTTAGAAGTCATCCCTTATTTTTTTCCGGATCATAACTGCTTGTTTAATTTAAGGACTAAAAAATGCCTCAAGAGAGAGGTTTGATGTAGGAGGCTACAGATGATTAAATTCAATTAAATAAGGAATAAGTCTTGTTTTAAGAAGGAATTCGAAACAAACTTGCTATTTAGGAACAGCAATTCATTTATGTTGGATTTCTTTATGTTACAAATTCTGAGAAAAAAAAAAACGAGAAAAGAAATGTCGTGTGGAGGGTTTTTTTGGGAGTATTAAAATGTATTAAGAGGCGGTTTTTTGGTTTATGAACTTAAGTTTAAAGCTTTGATGCCCCTGAGAGAAACTTTATGAAGGGAAGAGATTTTTTTTCTAAGAAAACAAGAAAACAGAAATAAATGCTGAAGGTGGGGAGGAGGGGGGTTTGAAAATATGATTTTAATAGAAGTACAACCCCTCTCCCCCTTTTTTTGCAAGTTTGAATTGTTTTGTCGAGGAGAGGTTGACTAAAAAGACTGTTGTCTCTGGCTTCTGGGTGAGTTTCAGGGCTACCGAACCTATGACTAGAGTCAGGCGCATAGCCAGAGGGGAAATTGGGGGACAAATCCCCCCAACGTAAACATGCTAGGGTTTTTATGAAAAAATCACAATAATCCCCCCCTTAAATTTTTCCATACAAAAATATCGACACAGTTCAAAAGTTATACCTAATTTTTGTCATAATTATGTCAGCTACAAAAACACTTAATTTGAATTTTGTCACCCTCGGGAACACTATGAACCAGTATAGCTGATTTTGGTCCAAATCTCGGCCATACTTCACACTTATTTGAACCACATTTTCTCGTAAATGTTAAAATATTATTGAAAAGGAATTAATCCTGAATTATGTCGCTATTTTGTCAAGTGTTTTAAGATAAAGAATTTGTTTTTCGGTTTCCACAGTGAAGAGTATGAACAAAATTCAGATGGGGTAGTCGAAATTTTAGATTTCGT